TTTCTTGTGGATGAGAACTCTCACCTCCAATCATCGTTCCTGAGCGAAGCAGAGTCATCAACCGAGAGATCTTGATCAGATCTAAACTTTACTACCGTGAATGTACTAGATCTGGCATTTGCTTGGCCGAATTCCAATCTCCGCCGGTTAGATCTAAATCTTTTCTGCCGTGAATTCGTCGGATCTGGCCTTCATCAGTCAGGGTCAAATCTCTGCGAAACAGATCCCGATCTCCTCAGGTCGGAGTCCAATTTTCATAAATCAAGCTTCTACTTCGTAGATTAATCAAAATCCTCCGAAAGAATGATTAATTTGCTCCCAGTGTACTTGAGGATCAACTGGATCTTCCTTCGATTCCCACAGACGGCGCCATTGAAGATGCAATCAACATACTCTATCAATTTGGAAAGATAAGTCTTTACACTTCAAAAAATCTCAACCGTTTTTCCCTCTCTTTTCATTCTATTTATAGAATTTAATAATTATTCTAGAGGCTTCTTCTTTAGTCTTCCATGTTGGACCAATCCTTTGGGTTCCTCTTGGGCATCGGTCCGTTTTCTTTGCTTTGAGATTGGGCTTGGAGATTGTCTCAATGGATATTAGGCTTGGTGGGCAGTCATCCGATCTGGCTAAATGTTATTTCCTGATCCAGTCTTTAGTGATATGGGTCATACCCGACCCAGACCATTTTTGGTACCTTCAAAGATGAACATGGAATGTTTTGTAATTCATGAGAGATTGGGATGGGAAAATAATAAAAAAGAAAAAAAAAAGGAAGGTGAACATGAAAAGTTTTAAAATTTATATATAAGCGAGAAAAAAAAAATTAATTTCTATATCAATGAAAAAACCTAGAAAAAAAAAAAAAAAAAACCTCACTATTGATATCATGAAAATGAATTCATGACAGATATTATTTTCCATGAATTTATAGTGATTATTTGTCCCAACTCTAATATATGACTAAAATATGTCGATCTAATATACATATATATATAGATATATATAAATTTTCTCCAGAACAAAATTTGATGTTAAATTCAAAACACATAAATAATATATATTGTTGCGTGAGAGAGAAAGAGGTAAGGGTCAATTTCCATTACCTGTATTTATCATTTTTTTTATATAAAAAAAACTTAAACATATGTTAATATTTTACTGGGCCACCTCATCATAAGAAGAAAGTTTCTTCTTATGCGGCCTAAGACAAACATTATTCTTAAATTAATATTTTAAAGTTTTACCTCATTTAAAAATTGTTGAAAGTCAAATCCACATTATAAACACGGTACAACAAAAATTGAAAAGAAAAGAGAAATACTAAAACTTGGAAACACCAAAAAATATATATAAATAAATATATATATATATATATATATATATATATATATATAGTGTATATGTAGATATAGGGATGCAATTTTTTCAGGCCTCGGTGGGTTTTTGCCCCGCTTCGCCCCTAATGGGGGCGGATTTGGTAGCTCTATAAATGAGTTTGGAATGAGTATGATAAAAGAATTGAAAATTTGAAACGGGTTTGGGGCAGGTCAGATTTAGTAATGAACTCGCCCCGCCCTTCCCCTGATTATATATATAACTTTTAAAATTATACATATATAATATTTAGTATTTGTAAGATCCATGTTACTTTGCTGGAAGTGTCGGTTAATATATCAATAGTCACTATTTATCAGCCCAATTTTAGTACATTGGATTTTTTATTTTATTTTATTTTATTTTTTTAACTAAATAATAAAAGTGGCTTAACCTGTCTTGCCCCACAATTAAACGTAATCCGCTGTACAGAGTAGGTATTTAATTTGTTTGCCGGAGTAGGGATAGTGATTATATACCAATTACAAACCCGTTATGGAATAGAGCCGGAATTGATCTGATGAATTTTCTAACAGAGCGGAATAGAGTTTAGCCAAACCCGCTCTAACTCCGTCCCTTTGCCATCCCTACGTAGATGGAATTAAAATTTATAATAACCCCAAAGCTCAAAAAAGATACAATTGTGGTGTTTCTTATTAGACAACCTAATGTGTTTATTTATTATTATTATTATTTTAAATTGTTTAATTGATAAATTTGTCCACTTATAAAATAATTTATTATTAGATGGGCATTTAGGTAATAAATCAATGGTCACTTGTTAGCATTTCTCGTAAATTTTAAACTTGGTGACTTCGTCTTTTACTTACTTTATGGTTCCTTTACATCAGTTTTGGTTACTAAAATCCTCTTTTTTTTTTTCTTTCTTTTTTTTTTTCTTTCTTGAATAGGGTAAACAGTAACCATGTGACTTTTAAATTTTGTTCTTTCTTGAATAGGGTAAACGGTAACCATGTGACTTTTAAATTTTGTTTCTTTATTTCTTCAAATTTCTGGACAGGTCAAAGCAAAGTTGGATCTGTTCAATTTTTGTAATTGTCTCTAGCTTAATTTCTCGGGCTTGTTGGACCAATCCACAAAAATTGGACCGTCCAACTTCTAAAAAAAAAACATTACCGTACACAATTTTGAATCACAAACCCAACATCCATTGATTATTTATCATTTACATTATTTGTTGTCTAGATTTTTTTTTAGTTGAATAACAATACTCTTACTTACACTGAATTTGCACTTTAAATTAAGTTTAAATTAAAATTTCTTTAATTTTACATTCAAGTTTCTCTCAAAAATTGCTTTAGTAGCATTATTCACAATCAATAAATTTTTTGCACCTATCAATCTTTGAAAATTTGAAATCATCTTGATTTCAAACTACTTGGGGAAGTTAACATGAGCAAGCTGTCAGCCTGTTGCGTCTTTTTTTACTTGAATTTTCCCAAGTGTTCGAAAAAGCTATGCATAAGTTGGGCTAAGGAAGCTGTAATATTAATAACAACCCACAAGTTCAAGTTCAGAGCCCAACCCAGTTAGAACTCACGGATTTCAAACTTGGCCCACCTTGTCGGTCAGTTTTGTGCCAGCCCAAATTAAATAGCCCATCTCTTACAATGTTACCTTTAGGGTGTGTTTGGATAGACAGGGGAGAAAAGAAAAGAAATAATAGTATTAATTACGAGAGAAAAGAAAAGAAAAGAAAGGATAATAATAATTTTTATTTGTGTTTGGATAGATAGGGGAGAAAAGAAAAGAAATAATAGTTATTCTTGGATAAGATAGATGAGAGAAAAGAAAAGAAATGATAGTAAACAAATTACTTTTTTACCCTTTCATGACCATGGGACTTGAATGGAATAATAAATCTGTATATTGATTTATGGAGGCTAATTTTGGTATTATCAAAATACCACTTAAAATCGCTATGTTTTCTCTCCCTATTTTCTCAAAATTGAAGAGAAAGCAAATGAGAGATAAGGAGGCCCTCCCTATTTCTTCCTATCCCTCTATTTAACTTACCCAAACACGAACTTACACTATCCTCTCTTTTCTTTTCTCTCCCTATCTCTCCAAATCAACCCTACCAAATACACCCTTAGCGTCAATCGCTCTCGATTTTGTATTTATTTTTTTGGATTCATTTCCTTATTTTAATTCTTTGTCTGGGGACGGGACTTAGAAAATTATGTAAGCGGGTAATAGGAGATTTTTTTTTTTTTTTTCACATAATTTCATGGGAGGTAATATTAAAATTTCATAAGTATATAATTTTTTTTAAAAAAATCACTACTATATAATATTCTTTAAGAAAATAATAATTTACCCCCACTATCAACACACTAGGTTGGTGTCTGCCACCACTTTGCACAATTTTATTCTTGAAATTTATTGCAAAATGATAGTTTGTTTAAGTAATACTCAAATATAGAGTTGGAAACAAAATTATGTTCCATCTCAAGAACTCGCAAAAACGCATTGGCACACAGACACACAAAGCAGGAGAGATGATGTCATGCAAAGTTGGTTGGTCACCCAATGTAATTTGATAATATATATTCATGCAAGAAATCAACATACTTGTTGTATGAGTTTGGTAGTATTATAATATGTATGTGTGTATACTGTTGAGTACCGCAAAGATGAAGTCACCATTAACTAACTCATCACACAGATCTATATATATATATAACTAATATATTTATATTTATTTTAGTCATGCAAGTGTAATTAATTGTAACTTCCAAACAAAGCAATTAATGAGAAATTTTTTGAGACATATAGTTAATGACTTGAATACTTGATCCTTATCACGTGCAGTCCAACGAATGTTAAAATTGGGAAGCATGCCTCAGATTATGCTGGGATATATAGAGTAACTAAACAGCAAAGCATTGTTTCTCTACTCCATACATTGATTTTTTTTTATTTTATTGTTGGCAACGGTGGTGTTAGACCTTTTAAAATATTTCATAATTTATTATCACTTATTTAATTAAATGTATTTGACAATATAATTTGAAATCACAGTAAACATAATTTAAAATGGGTAAAATTTTTAAGTGACAGAAATTTTAGTTATCATTAAATATTAAAAATTTAAAAATATTATGCTGGCTGTCATACTAAGGACAGTTATAGAAACCATGGTCGTCTTCACCCAAACAACAATCTTTATAGAATCTCACTCATCTGTTTCTCAAAGTGTGAATCCAATTATCCAAGTACACAATAAAGGAACTCACAGGAACATATGAAGCTCCTTCATTATATATAATATATGTATATGCCCAATTTGATGACTTTTGTCTTGTGTAAACAATGCAAGTCAATCAAAAAGGAAAAAGTACTATCCACAATTATTTATTAAAGTAACACAAGAAAGGTAAAAAAATTCAAAAAAACACAAAGCAGAAGGTTTAAAGTTACCATTTAGAGAAGTGTTAGTATCACCACTATTTACTATCAAGTGCCATTAACGACATCAAGTATTAACTGTGTTATAAAAACCTTGCACAATGAGGTTTTTAAACGGTGAAATGTTGAGAAGTGAAAAATTAACAAAGGGACAAAGCCTAAGTGGCCGATACAGAGTTACATTACATATAGTGTCATATATGCACATGGAGGTAGAGAGAGAGAGAAATGGAGATGGGTTAGAGAGAGAAAGTGAGCTCGTCATGTTTGCCATCTGTTGTACTTGGGAGGACTATCCGGGTTTTCCAAAGCCATCTTTTATGCTGGCCGAGACTCGTGAGGTGTGACGGTGATGAGACCGAAGGTGGCCCTTTTTCATGCTCTCTGTTTGCAGATTCGTTCTCTATCTCTGTCCGGATTGTAACGCACAGAGCTCTCGAACCCTAATTTTTCAAACTCAAACCCTAGTGTTGTGCGAGTGCTGATCTGCAAATGCAGGGCGAAGGTGAGGTTTTCTGGTTGTGAAATTTTAAATGTGGTTCTACTGGTGATCTATAGAAGGTCCGATTTTTTTTTTATTTTTTTATTTTTTTTATTTTTTTTTATTGTTTTGTGGATTTTGATAAGCAAAATGTGGGAATTTTTAGGTGGTTGTGTCTTTAATTTTCTAATTTTTTGAACTTCACAGACTTTCCGGACGGTGTTATAACACTTGCTGTTGCTCTCTCTCTATCTCTCTCTACACACATGTATGTGGCGCTAAATGCATGATTTGATGAAATTATTTATCATGGTTTTGAAATTCAATAGATTTAACTTCTGTTCATCTGAATTTCCCCCATTTTTAAATTTAGTCAAATTCTAACTATTTTTTTTTATTTTTTACAAGTAAGTCAGATTCTATCTATATGGGATCCTATTTTGTACAAGTCAAATTTCTGTAATTTTCTTTTTTTCTTTTTTTGTCTTCTTTCATGTATTGTCGAGTTTTGCAATTTCAGGAGATCAGCGTTCTTTCTTTCTGTGTATGTTTAACTATTTGGGGCAACATTGAAGGGGCCTGTTGTGGGTTGCCTGAATATTTTAGGATTTACTGTAGAAGAGAGCACTTTAGAGCTTTAAGAGTTGATGTACCATTGGAAGTCTCATTATTTATCTAATTATATTGTAAATTCTCTGCATGTGTTTTTTTTTTTTGTTTCTCTCTCTCTCTCTCTCTCTCGGTAATAGTTGGATGGTGTTTATTTATCGGAAAAAAAAGTAATAGTTGGATGGTATTAGAAGATGTTATATTTGGAGGAACTCCTTGACTGGATAATGGGAGTGATTTTAGGAATCTTTCCTATATCATATTTATCACATGTTTGTATTATTTCACCTATAGATAGATGTGATCATTGTATGCAACGATTAAGAGAGAATATATTATAAAGTGATGTAGCCCTTTGGGCTCTATGTGCCGTGGATGTAGGCCCTAGTGGCTGAACCACGTAATATCTATTATTTTCAACTTGTTGGCTTCCCTTTTCCTATTTGCATTTCTTATTTTCGCATCCAAATTTTAACATGGTATCAGAGCCTAATTTCTCTTCCTAGGTTCGGACCCCTATTTTGGGGCATTCCCTTAGCATCTGAAATGTTGCTAAAAGTTTCTCGGTGCTATTTGTGACTTATTTGGGCAACTGGTGTGTTCGGCAGCAATGTCTTCGCCTTTGCTGTGTCTCTGGCAGTTTTTATTGACTTGTTTGGGCTGCCTGTGTGTTCGGTAGCATTGTTTGTCACCTTCGCCATGTGTTCGATGCTTTGTGGATTTGTTTGGGCTGCCGGTGTGTTCGGTAGCATTGTTCTTCGCCTTCACCATGTCTCTAGCTGTTTTATTGTCTTTTTCCAAATCGTTGGAAAAATATATGTTTCATGATTTGATATGCAAGCGGAGCATTATTTCCATACACCCTTCAGCTTGAGGGGGAGTGTTAGAAGATGTAATATTTGGATAATATCATTATAGGAGTGATTTAAGACCAGATATTGATACGAGTGAATCATGGGAGTGATTTTAGGAATCTTTCTTATATCATATTTATCACATGTTTTTATTATTTCACCTATAAATAGAGGTGATCATTGTATGCAAAGATTAAGAGAGAATATATTATAAAGTGATGTAGCTCTTTGGGCTCTTTGTGCCGTGGATGCACGCCATAGTGGCTGAACCACATAATATCTTTGTGTTCTTCGTGTTTCATTTCTCTCTACTTCTGTTTTATGCTTGACAACAGATGGTGTGACCTGGAGTTCGAGTGTTCAGTTTTACATCGGTTGATATATGAAGATTTGTTTATGTTAGTATCATTTTCTTTTGATTGAAAATGTGGGCAGTACTTTTATCTCTTTTTTTGGGGAAATCTTTATAGTTTGTACTTTTCAAATTCCAATATTCTCATAAATTAGGGCAAATAAAAGATGTAAAAGTGTAAAGAAGAGATTTTAGAAGAGAAGCAAAAATATTTTGAATAAATTTACATTTCAGACCTGGATTGGACGGTTGAACTGTTTAGTTTATGAACTTGCCTTCCCCTTTTGATCCTAAAAGTTAATGCCTAATATTGGGACCAAACAGTTTTAGATTTAAAATGTTAAGGGTTATATATTTCCTTTTTTTTTTTTTTTTTAAATTTATTTATTTATTTATTTCAAACAAAAAATTTCATTTTAAAAACTTGTACACCAAAATTCTATCTACTTTAGTTATAAACATCTATGCAAATTGATTGTTACTGCTGCTGCTACTGTCACTGCTGGAGTACATCATGTCAAGTGGTTGAGTAGCACAGAAATATGTAAAGTGATCAAAACCTTCCTACATTTGACTTCCAGTCTGGAATTATGCACATGCTTTCGAATTGCCTATGTGCCTGAAAGAGATTAACCAAATAAATGTACGTTTATTTTAGGAAAAGGAGTAAATTATTAGATTACCTTAAACATGATCCTAGTTGAAGTTTTAAACTTTTAGCCTATTGGGATAACGACACTTCAGCAAAGAACACTCCCCTCTTTGTACCAAGGTAAAAAAAGATAAAAGAGAGAAAAAATAGAAAAGAAATAAAATTAAAGGAGGGAAAACTTATACTAATCAGAAGAATGCAATAATATGACTAATTTTAAGTAGCAAGTAATCTTAACACATTTGAAACAACATTTGCAGTTCAGCTGAGTTTATCACACTATATATTAAAGTCAAAATCTTGCAAATGCATTTCTTTGTGGGGCACAATAATTTCTCCTACTTTTCTTTCCTTCTCTCATTCTTTTGATTTTGATTTTTTCTGAACCAAAAAAGGAAAAAGAAAAAACAGAAGGGAAAAGAATCAAAGAGCCAAATAAATATTAACAAATGACATGGGTATCATATATTTTTTTATTTTTTATTTAATGCTGGCTGTTAGCTAACTAATGCAACCTTCCTTTTTATTGGCTTGAGACTGGCTGTGTAAGGGATAAAGATGCTAGGCATGGCATAGACGGAGTTTATATGGCTCTCCATAGGTAGGGATGCAAACGAACCGAGCCGAGCTTTAGGCTGCTCAGGCTCGTTTGTTATAGGCTTAGCTTGGGCTCGATTTGGGATTGTGACCAGCTCAAAAAACTGAGTTTGGGCTCTATCTCTATCTCGGCTCGTTTAAGAAAACAAATTGAACTAATGTTGAAAATCGGTTCAGGCTCGTTTTCAAGCTCACCATGCTCATTTAGTAAATCATCGCCTTTTTATTTTGTACTTCCAAAGAATAAAGAATGCCAATAAAAAATAGAAACAAGTATAAATGAGCCCTAGAGCGAGCCTACGGTTCACAAACATATACGAGCCTATGTTCACGAACATAAACAAGCCTACACGAGCTCATGTTCACAAGCCTACACAAGCCGAGCCCAACACTGTTTGGGATTTACTCATTTACTAAACGAGCCTAGAAAACGAGCTCGAGCTCGGCTCGTTTGCTTAACGAACAAGCCCGAGCTGAGACCTAAATGAGCCAAGCCCGAGCAATCGTGAACATCTCAGTTCATTTGCAGCCCTATCATACGTACCATAGAAAAGCTTTTGCACATACCGTTAGCTGCCTGATGCAACCTTTCTTTTCCCATACTCGGCATGACATGTATATATATATATATCTCAAAAATAAATGAACACAGAACTGACTATTATGCCTCAATATTTCAACTCTGATAGTGTATTTAACTTGCTGCACAGGTTAGCTAAAAAATGGCAATGTTATTTTCCATATCATTTGGCCATGCTAGGACTAATTGCCTCTTTTTGCCTATTGTATTAGGCTCTTTAAATTATACAGAACTTAAATTAGTTCAAAATTTTCTAGAGTCTAAAAGCAAACTTATTATTCTTGTCAAAATTGTTACTTTTATCTACCAAGTGATGTGGGCATTTTTGGCAATGAGCTCGAAAAATTGGTAGAAATGTTTCTGCCTCAAATTTGGCAGTATATGCTGGTGTATATTTTTTTTTTTGATAAGTAAAATGTATTAAGAAGCGTTCAGAAGGGGAACGCATCCCAAGAGCTGTACAAGAACCAAGAACCAAGAACCAAGAACCAAGAACAAAAAAGAGAGCCTAAGAAGACAAAGATCCCAATGATCCCAAAAAGTCCAATATGCTGGTGTATTTTTTTTCCAAGTGATTTCACCTATATCAACACGCAACTTAGTCAAATTCACTAGTCCTTCTCTCTATTTCTCTGCCTCACTCATAAATGTAAATGATTAGATGAAACTAAAGTATCTGAGAGGTGATTTAAATTATTTTAGCAAGAAAGATACTAAGATCATCTATAATGCTCTAGTTGCTTTATGGATACATGATTCATTTATGACATTTATGAGCATATGATGATGTTTCATTCTTTAGTTCTAGATGGTGACCGAAAGTCAAAGCATTTGGGAGTCATTTATGACATCTATGAGCATATGATGTTGTTCATTTTTTAGTTCTAGGCGGTGACAGAAAGTTGAAGCATTTGAGATGATGGTTAATTTCTTTTATTAGGCACATCCCTATATCTTATGTTGATCTGAAAAATGTTGTATGAACATTGATGCTGGATGCAAATTTGACGTAACTTTGGACATGTTGACGTGGTAGATTTCTAAAAGCAAGACAGGACTAAAACATGCCAAGCCAAGACAATTAATAAATGTGATATGTGTCACATATTTTTATATATTATGTTTATCTCGTGCTTTATTTTCATCAGAACTTGATACGTTTTCTCTGATTGATTACTTATTTTATCTAATTCTTCATGTGTATTAAAAGATTCAAGTTATGCTGTAATTCACAAAGGCACTAAATTTATTTATTTATTTGTTTTGAGATGGAAAAAATGGTGACTCTTTCCTGGAAGCATGTTCAATCATTTATGTGGCATGCCAACCATGTTCCTGAACATGAACTGTTTATTCCAAGGTACCGAAAGTGTATATTTTAGATCTTATAAGGAAATCCCTGTGCTACTTGGACCGAAAGTTGCATTGGTGTGGTGTTGGTGATTTTTTTCTCCACGTGACAGAAAGTTTAGTGTACTCACTAAGTGGACTCATATTTTTGGGTTTAAATTCTCTATCGATGAGAAAAATCCAATTGGCCAAATTTCTGGTCAGCATCTATTTTCATTTTCCCTCCTTTTTGCTGATGAGTTCCATAAATTTCTGTTACATAGTGTTTCCTTCCCCATTTTTTCTTTCCAAATTGACTTCATGGTACACACTCACTCTCTCTCTATCTCTCTCTCTCTCTCTCTCTCACACACACACACACACACGTGCACAATTGTGTGTTCTCGCGTGCATATATCATAGCGTTTTAGGACTTGGAAATATATACATGGCATTGTTTCCTTTCTTCTGGAAATTTTGGGGCAAGAAGCATGAGTGCTATTGTGATTTACCATAAGGTTTTGGGATTTTTCGCAGAGAACATGTACAAATTTTTTAGTCTGAAGATTTGTAGAGTTTATAAAAGTACTGGAGAAACATATATCCTTGTCTTATTATATTTATTTCCTCGTTTCCCGTTGCTGCAGATGTTCTGATGATTATTCAGTGGTTCATACTTGAAGTTCTGATATGAGGAAGTTCTTCATTTTCTTTTCCATAAACTGAGTTAAAGATGGAGATTTCCATTTCATCAACATTGTAGAAACAAGTTTCTATCAGAGCAAGGTAGATTCAGCCTGTCATGCTGGTGTTCATTGAATAGTGCAAAGCAAGAAAGATGCTGTAGCTGAAGCAGGACTGCTGTAAGTCGGTGAAGACGCTGTAGGTTATTCAGAGCAAGGTAGATTCAGCCTTTCATGCTGGTGTTCATTGAATAGTGCAAAGCAAGAAAGACGCTGTAGCTGAAGCAGGACTGCTGTAAGTTGGTGAAGATGTTATTCAGCAGAGAAATTGAGGGCCTGCATGATGATGGTTTTGCGGGGTCAATTGATGAGCGCCACATTTTTACAGAGGTTTTCTTTGGGAATGACAGTGACAGAACTAGTAGCAAGAGGTGTCTTGTTACTGGAGTTATCAATTTTGAATGTGAATCCAGTAAGCAAACAGATGTGTCTCTTTGTTCAACCAGTGAAACCTCAGCCTTAACAACTCAGGATGACTCTTGTAATGTAAAGGAGGATTCTAGAGGAAATTCTGGACCTTCTTGTTTCTCAGAAGGACGTGCTTTGTTAAAGAGGAAAGATCATGACGTGAATGCTAAACGGATAAAGTTATCGGTTGATGACTTTTCTAGTGTCAAACCTTATTTGGGAAACATTATGAAATCGTCATCTCCTTTGAAAGAGGTTGATTCTGGTAAATCCAAACCTGCTTCACGTTCTGCTTATCGTACTGTAACATGTCGCTTAGTTGAATCATCCAGTCAGGGTGTTACATCCAGCTGTTATCTGCTTAGGCGACATGTTGAAATGGGCAGAGGTTATATGGGTGACAGTAATGCTTCTAAGTTTGGATTAAGTGATGGGAAGGAAGTTGTTGCAAATAAAGCAATTGCTTCACCTGTTTCTCAGGAGAGCTTTGCCACCAAGCTTTTGGTTGGGAGTCCATCTGCAACTGTCGCAACTACGTCTGCACCTCTTCAATATGCCAATAAAAGATGGAACAAATCCAACTTTTTGGAAGTGGATTTACCTGAAATTTCATTGAACAGTGACTCTTTGAAGGATCCTCGTCCTCGTCTCCGCAATCACGCCCATCACCTGCTTAGAGCAGCGGGATGGGAGATTGGGAGGCGTAAAAGAGAACATACTGTTAATGGTGAATATGTTTTTAGGTCACCTCAGGGACAACCTATACGTGAATTTCGTAGAGCTTGGGATTTATGTGGTCAGAGTTTGTTTGATGATGGAAACAATATTGTGCAGGAAATCAATGGTAAAGAATGGACTGATACCACTGAATTCTTATCTGATCTATCTAATACATTGAAAGAAATTGAGGAAGAATTGAATGGTTTAGAAACTATTACTGCATTGACTCAACGGTGGTGTCTTCTGGATCCCTTTGCATGTGTGGTGTTTATTGACAAGAAATTTTGTGCACTGAGAGCTGGAAATGTAGTTAAAGCCAAGAGAAGTTTTGTGATCGATACGTATGCATTAGATGATTCTGTCTTGGCCCTGAAGAATGTGGATAGTATTGAAAACCAGTTTGCCGAGAGACGCGTGATAGATCGGATTTGTGGCTCTTCTCCGTTAACAGAAAGTGCATTGACAGTTTTTGAGGAGAATAACTCTATTCGCAAGGAGCAATGTGGTAATAGCCTCTACGAAGTTCCCATCACTTCCGGAAATGCAGATATCATTCTTGGAGGGTCCGATACTATCTCCCCTCATCAAGATAGCAATACAAGTTCCCAAAGCTGTCATAGGCACAGCTCTGACCATGATGTGGAAATGCCTTTTGAAGTTTTCAAAGATGTATCAATGGGTTCTTCTGAGGAAGTAGATAAATCTTTTGAAAGTAAAGTTCACAAGTTGAGATATCAGTTGCAGTGGTACGCGGATGACTATCAAAATGAGGACGAGGGTGGGCAGTGCATTGAAGCTCCATCATTCGGGCTAGATGATGCATCTTTTGCAGAAGATGTTATGTTAGAAAAGAAGGCTCACAAGAAATCGAAAAAGATATCTGAAATGAAACTGAGCACACTATATCAAAATGATAGGGTAGTTCTGTCTACTTCTTGTGAGGCTAAACTACATGACATTGATGAAAATAGCATTCAATATAAATCAAGAGGAGTACGGGAGTATTTCGTACCTGATGTAAAGAATAGCGGAAGTTGTAAAAAGTTATTTCTTTGCTCGTCTGATCTTTGGACCAAGGAACAGTTAAGATCTAAGAAGTTCCGTCGCAATACTGTTGCTTCTAAGAAATTGGTTCAGGTTACTCATGACCGTAAGCATCCGAAGGAGCTCAATGAAGCTCCTGTGCATGTAAAGGATGATTCTCTGGTCTCTCAAACCTGGAGGCAAGTTAATAAATCAGAAAAACCTGACACCCATGACAAAAATGTAGAAAAGCAATCAAATAGATGCCAGCTTAAGGATGATGATCTTTTGATTTCAGCAATCATAAAAAACAAAAGCTTCAGGTCCAATGCCAAACGATCTTCCCCAAAAATGAATGCCTACAAATCAAAATCTCTAAGGAAGCGCAAGAGCCAAAAGGGCAGCTGCAGGTTGCTTCCAAGAAGCCTTGGTAAGGGTGGAAATCACTTCATAAATGGGAAGTGGCCTGCCTTTGGTGTAAGAACTGTTTTGTCATGGTTGATTGATTCTGGGGTTGTTACTCCTAATGAAGTGATCCACTACCGAAATCCGAAGGATGATGCTGTAGTCAAAGATGGCTTAATTACTCGGGATGGGATCTCATGTAAGTGTTGTGGTAAAGTGCTTTCTGTGTCCGAGTTCAAGATTCATGCTGGTTATAGGCTGAACCGTCCCTGTTTGAATCTTTTCATGGAGTCTGGTAAGGCATTCACTTTATGCCAGCTTGAGGCTTGGTCAGCTGAATACAAGGCCAGGAAAAGTGCCACTCGCACTGTACAAGTTGATGAGATGGATCAAAATGATGATAGTTGTGGCCTGTGTGGTGATGGGGGTGAGTTGCTATGCTGTGATAATTGCCCATCAACTTTTCATCAGGCATGCTTATGTGCACAGGTTTGTCTTTTGCTTTCAATTCAGATCTTCTTAGTTCCCTTCTTTTTCACTTCGAAACTGTTGTTACGTTATTTTTCTTTTTTATTATTTTCTGTGTATTTATTGTTCTTTTATTTATTATTATTATTTTTATGTAGTCATATCTTTTGGATTTTTTCCATAGTTAGATTTTTAATTTTACCTGCAGTTCTTTGTGAACCACCAAAAATATTTGTCTCTCTAAAACTGATTAGTACAGTTACATTATGAAGGAGACTTTTATGGTTAATGATCATGATCTTGTTAAATAAGTGTGTTTGCAGTAGTAATCTCCTAGAATAACATGCCGGAACAGACATCCCAAATTTGTATGCAGCTAGGATTCAGAGCTGCTGGTATGTTCTGCAAATGTGCAAGTTGTAAAGTACTTTTCCCGTGGCTCATTTGAGTTAACGATGTACTTTAATCACAATCAATACTTGATGCATGCCCATAAATCACCAGATATTATAATTTTGTTGAAAATGTAAGTCAAAATTGAGGATTTTTTTTGTTAAGTTACACTTATTAGGACTATATGGATATGGTGTAGCGAGATATTTTAATACACTGCAAACTGGAGTGGCTTTCTTAAACTGATTGGGACATAATTATATTGAAACGTTGAAACTCAGAAACAAATTTGGAGTGTATCATTCGGGGCTGAATGGTTAGGAATGTGGTGGAATATATCAGAATGCCAGTGTTATATGACATATTTAGCTATATTGTCGTTGCAATGGTCTAGATGTCAAAATTTGACGCAGATACTAACTTCAAGATTCAGACTTGGCCAAATGAAAAACATAGTTTTTTGAAACAACATTTAATTCAATTAATGTTGCATTAAATTATAGATTTCATGGAATAGTTTGAATTCATATTACTGCATCTTATGCGTCGTGTCATACCATGGTTGTCAAAATTCCTAGACAACCCAAGTTACTGCCCACACAATTGATATAGCATTAAAAACAGGTAAATGGTCTAGCTGGTTCAAGTTTTATTTGAGTTTCAGTAAAGTGCATCTAAGCCCTACATCAACATATCTATTCACAGAAATATAGAAATTTAACAAAAATGAATGTTGAATGGTTGACAATTTGGTAGATTCGATTACTTCCTAGATGTTATCTAGTTTCCCAAATGGTGCCAAGAACCTGGGCAACCACCTCATTCTCCCCTCTAGGTGAGGATTACCTTAGTATTTTGGGCAGCTTTCATCATCTGGCAGTCCCCCATGTGTTCTGTCAGCCACCTCTAGCAATAATGTCAGACATTGATAAGCAAAACCTCAATGAGGTAACTACTTATTAGCATAGAAAATGTTTGCAAGAACAAAGTGTTAATACTTCATACCGTGTGATAGATTTTGACTTGCCTCAAAATTTAGTGCGGATGTTAATTGAAAATTCTTGGAGATAGAATCACATTGTGATGCGCTGTGGAAATGTTGTACCTACCACATTGGGAATGTTCGCTACTGTGGTACTGGGGGTTCAGATTACAGCTCGAAGTGATGCACAACTTGATAAACCAGGACCTTGGGGAGATCTCTGCAGCCGTGATCAAGCTTGGTGGACATTACCTTCTTATGGAAGGTCTGAGACATGCCAGTTAATTAGGGTTTCTTGAGATACAATTGGTCATCCAAGTGTCCTCTGCATCTCATGACATAGTCCGATGCTCTGCTCAGTTCCCTTTGAAAATAGCAATGGGACATGAATTAAGGGTCTCAGACAACGCCTACATTATGAAATGAGGACTATGACACGATTCCATAAATTATATCATGCTTAAATGGACCAGGATAGGGGGCACATACATTATGATCAAAAGGCCATGATGTAATAATGTAGACCACACTATAGTCTAGATCACAGCCATGCCATCAGCAATCACTGGAATAATAACACGATACCTAGCTTGCCATATCCTCAAGGGCCTAACTCTATTGTGACAGGTAGTTATCAAAATAATAATAATACATAAATAAATAAATCGTCTTTTATAGGCCTATTCGGCCGAAGGGTTATAGAAGGGGATCGCACCAAAGTGACGATTGCACAAAATAGGATCATGTCACAATCTTGGGTTACAATGCAGTCCCCTGTCGCACCATGGGGCAGCAACCTTGTAAAATCAAGGGAAAGAGAAAATTTTACGTACTCGGGCGGATGATGTAGAACACGGCCCACACATAACTGAGAATCAAGCTCAAAAAACGCCTGGACTCAAGCCTGGGCAAGTATGGAGCACTTGAGTGTCGTTACATCTTTAAGAAGCCAGTTTCCTTTGAATTTGTTGATTACTATGTCCTGCCACATGGCATACATCTTCTGTTTATTGCCAAAATATGTTTTCTTCTTTTGACATGTATTTCAAAGGGACCTATCTCACACGTTAACTAATGTGTAGGAATTAGGAACTAGGAATCTAGAAAAAACAATAATACCGTAACAAGTGCAAACTAGAAAAATAGGAAACATGATTCCTAATTATTAGGAGTTCTATTATGAATCTGATTTTTACCAGTAGAACATTGAATTTCAAATATAGTTGCGAGTTATATGTCAAAAGGAGCGCATTAATTAGCACAATTCCTTTAGTTCTTCAGAATTATCAATTGTAATAACATAACCCATTCTTTCCGTTTTTTTACGATCAAGGTGATCAATATTCTTGAAGGTAATAACTGCAGGGTTTCATTGACACGGACTTTACATAGTTCCTTATACTATTTGACTGTGTAATTCGTTTGGATGGATGGAAAATTAGCACTTCAAAAGATTATCATAAGAGGTTGTTAATATGATAGATGTAAACTTTTGATTTACAAAGGAAAAATACAAATGTTTTAACAGAATTTCTGGAGTATTATTGAATTAGTACTGTGATGCATTGGGAAAATGTAGCGCTATTGGAGACATTCGTAGCTAATGTGCAGGAACTAGGAATCTAGGAAACAATAGTTATACCATAAGAAGTGCAAACTAGAAAAAATAGAAAGCACAATTCCACATGCTAAGAAGTATTATTATAAAGCTGGTATTGGTAGCAAACATTATGTCAAAGTGAGTGCATTAAATGCATAAAGCACAAATTCCTTAAATGCTCCAAAATTATCACAATTTCTTTTCTGCTTCCCTCATCACTAATGACAACTATGATAAAAATTCTTAAAGGTAATGAAATCTAGATTTATATATGGTATTAGATTATTTGTTTTGTTTGCATGGATGGAAAATTAGTGCTTCAGAGAAAGATCAGCACATCAGATTTTGTTATATTAATTAAATTACAAAGAAGATTGTTATTTAGGTTGCTAAACAAGAAGTGATCTAAGTTTCTGAAGGTATTTAATATTAAGCCATGTTTGGCCAACCAGATAGGATGTCCAAATAGGATAGGAGAGTTTATCTACTGGATATGATAGGATAGGAAATCATATTTAACAAAAATGATATATCCCTATCTCACATTTGGAACAAGATTGGATTGGAGCTGCAGATATTAAATTTAATCTACTCCTGCTTTTAGATTGCGACTAAATAAATAGATTCACAATTTTTCAACAATTTCCGGAAATCAAACAAGAAGTTACTGATGAAATTTCAACAACATTCAATATTTAAGGTAAAAAATTAAATAAAACTTACTTAGTAATGAAATGGGATCTTTAGATTGTTGAGATTTAAAGAAGGAAGGAACAGCTGAAAGAGCAAACAAATACAAAGAAGAGAACAAGAAAAGAATAAAAATCCTAGCAGATTTATCTCTCAAAAGAAATTGGAGAAAAAAAAAAAGGAAGGAGAAGGAAGAGGAGGCAATGGCAGCTAAGACTGTAGTGGTTTGGGTGTTGGCTAAATGGACACTGGGGGCTTGGTCTATAGTGATCTTTTCTTTCTCCAGCAACGAATTGGCTGTAGTGGTTTGGTTGGTGAATAAATGAACGATGGCTTGGTCTATAGTGGTCTTAACCCCTCTCTTTTCTTTCTCCAGCATGAGTTGCCTTAGTCGAAAAGGCCAAAGGATCTCCTCATTTATCCACTCCCAAACAGGATATGTAAATGCTGGCCACCCTCTGCCCACCAAAAAGGTATTATTTGGTTATCCCTGAGTTGTACATAATACCCGAAAATATAATTAAATCAAACAAATTGGATAGGTGCATCCTATCTGCTTCATTATCAGGTTGTCCAAAGACTACAAAATGGCATTAGGTTTAGCTCATCCCTTTAAAACTCACACGCTATTTCAACTGGTAAAATTTGTAGATTTTCTAAGCGAGCCTTATTGTGTGGCAAATTGAAATTTTTTGGCCCACCAAAAGACGTGTTTGAATGCATTAAGAGTCAAATTATGGTCAATTATTGAGAGAGATCATACACGTGTCTCTCCCTAGACCAGGTAATGCAGAGATGGACTTATTAGTCTCGAGGAGATCAATAACTTTGGCAACTTTTCCAGATCATTTTTAGAATCCATGAGACGCTTTGCTGGACAATTTTTATTTATTTTATTTATTTTTGGGTTTCCTGAATTGATTTTATATTGTTATTTAATTGACTTAAAAGGATTTTTCATCCTTCCATCCTGCAATAGCTGCTTTTTCTTCTCAATTGTGCTGCTTGTTTCTTATGAGAAAAAGAAAAATATATACTATGTTACTTTCAAGAGCATGCAACTAAGAAAAAAAAAAAAAAAAAAAAAACTCTTTCAAGAGCATGCAATTGGTACCACAGTTATTATATGGTTTTTCATATCGTTCAACATTTGGTAGTTTTTTTTGTAGTTTTATATTCGATTCTTTCTATCCAATCATTTGATTAACTTTATTTCTATAATAAATTTGACTATAACCAAATATATTATTTGGTATTCTAATAACTGATTTAGTGGGGAAAAGAGAAGCGTGATGATAAATGGTGGTACTTGTAGGCTTGGTTCGTATTGCTATCATAGGATGTATCAGCTTTGAATATTAAATGCTTTATGAAAGAGGTATCTTAGACTAGGGAACAGTTGCTAAAGTATAGTTGGGTGGATATATTGATGCTAAGTAGCACAATCGCATGCATGTGGTTCCAGGGGAAGGGGGTGTTATAATTGTTTAGTTGTATGTTTTGATGATACGGTGCTTGTGAAAATATCTTTATTTTATTACAAGACAGTCATATTCTTTGTTTAGAAGCTTATATAGACTATAGATCTAGATAGATTATTAAGACTGTTCAATCAATAATTTTTGCCACATTTATTTTAAAATTACCAGTAATTGAGTAGCATGCATACGTACTATAAAGTAACCATATCTGCATAAGGCATGTATAGGATATGATACTTCTTGGATTGTGTACGATGTGTATTTTATATTTATTATATGCATCCATAATTTTAAAAAGATTTTTTATTTTGAACATGTGTTTTCAGTACTCTTCCAACATCTGTCTGTCAGGCTATGCATTGAGATGCGCACCTTCTAGTACAAAATGGAGTATATATTTGAAAAATAGAAGAAATTGGTAAAAAGTAGGGGAAAACTAACAAGGGTAATCCTGTCAAATAGGGTCTGTAGTGGGTGTATATGCAATGTAAGTTTGTAATCGTCAGTTTTCTAACACGAATTTTTGTAGTATTCGCAGCCTAGGATTTATCGTAGTGGATCTACATATCTCGAGTCTGTTTCTAAACTTCATTGATCCTTAAACAGTATAATATGTGAGTAAAACAATGGATAATATCGTAATTTTTTAAGAATAGGTCCAGCCCATAGTTTCTCCCTGGCACAGATGTAGAAGGCCCACAGATAACCCTAGAATAGGACTATATATTCATTTTGACCTTACATAGAAGGCTGCAGCATCTCCTTACAGCAGTCATTGGTTGGCTGCTATGATGTTTTTGCTCAAAGAAGAAAACGGAGACAAGGGATATGTTAGCATGCTATTGTCTTTCAAAAATCGGATTAGCGATTTACCAGATACTATTGAGCCTCCTGTCATAATCTATGAGGTTTGATGAGAGTTTTTATTATTATTATTATTATTATTTTATGATATTGGTTGATCTTTTGGGTCTTGTGTTTCAAGATGTTTTTAGTGAATTTGATCTGAATTTTATTTGGCTGCAGCAGATTTTGGTGAATTGGCTAGTAGATGCACTTTTTATTTATTTATCCTTTTACTGGTTTAAGATGCATTGGATGTTAGGACTCAGATGAGCCTGTATGTGTATGCCTAGGCAATAATTTCTTGTTCATTGGTTTCTGGATGATAGTTGTTGATATCTTTTACCTCAAAAGTGTATGCTGTTCTCGCATTCTGCAATTGACTGATTGGTTTAAGAATTACTCTTCTGGGGAAGCCAATCAAATCTATTATCATTTCCCTGAAAATTTTCTTTTGGTCCACTTAAACTGTTAAGTTTAAAACATTTTCTTGTGCTTTTTTTGGTTTTGTTGCAATTGTGATTGTTGTGGAGGTGGTGTTTTTTTTTTTTTCTTTCTTTCTTCTTCTTTTATTTTTTATTTTTTATTGTATGTAAAATGAATTAACTTGATTTTTTTTTTTCTTTCCTTTAGGAGCTCCCTGAAGGCAATTGGTATTGTCCAAACTGCACTTGTCGGATTTGTGGATTTTTTGTTCATGGTAGCAAGGCTTCAAAATCCTCTGGTGCATTAAAATGTTCGCAGTGCGAGCATAGATGTAATGTTTCTCCTCTCAACCCTTGGTAGATTATTTTTTTGGATCTAAATGTGACTTGAATGGCTGAGGGGGTTGAAAAGCATTTCAAGGGACGAACAAGTCACAATATTATTTAGACTTAAAAGTGTTCTAAACTTCTAGTGAAATTGGCACATTGATAGCTTCCAGCAGAAAGATGCTTCATGTGACACTTGTTAAATATTTATTAAACAGGGCTGTAATAATGGGTAGTTGAACTTCATAATTGTCTTCTTCTGCCCAATTTTGTTTGCAAACTGCAACTCCAAATTTCCATTTCCTTTAAAAGCATAACTATGTATCTAATGATCATGATATAATCTTGCTTTAACAAATATTAGCACAAAGATTTTCCTTCATTGGTCATAATACGTGTATGCTTGCTCCAGTTAGCCAGTATGCTTTTTTATTTTTGTATTTTCTTCACTGTTACTAACTTTATATGTTTTAAGTATACTTAAATGGATTACAGGTAGTTAAGATTTGTTGGTTCTGTTGTTTGGATTGTTTGGAGCGTGTAGTTACTATCATATATGTGTGCGTGTGTATATACCTATATATATTCTGATAACAATTAGTGGTAAAATTAATATGAATTTCTTCGTAGCAACCTCGATATTGAATTGTTTACTTGCTTTACTGCTGATGTGCTTATTAATCTTTTTGTACAAAAAGGGGTTCTAGTGTATATTTTAATTTTATATAGTGTCTGTTTTATTCATGAAGTATTTCTACCTCTCCTGACTATTCTGATACCTGTGAACAGACCATGAAGCATGCCTGAAAGGAAAGGGTATCTGTGGAGGAGTGACTTCTGATACCTGGTTCTGTGGTGAAGGCTGTCAGGAGGTTAATTGCCTTACTTTTATTTTCCAGTATGATTTAAAAGTATCTATGGTGATATGAAAGAAAATGTTCTGATGTTGTAGGTTTTGAATCTAATTGTAAACCTCAAATAATGTTTTGCATAAGAAACATAAGATTGCCATTTTTGAATTGCCATCATCTGTATATTAGTTTGTTCTCCAATGTCCGGATGTCCCAGGGGCGGTGTTTGGAAAACTTTAAAGCATTTAAAGAAATCAGATCGAACAATTTGGGACCAAGGAGATTGTTTCTTGCTTTTGTTAGTGAGATTGAACCTTCTGCATATGAGCATAGAAATGAAAACTCTTTTGTAAATTCAAATACAGGTCTGATAGAAGATCCGCGTGCTTGTCTGGTTGGCATGCTCTACATTGGCTCTGCAGCTGTTCTAGGATATTTGTGCAACAATTTGTGTTCCTTTTTCGATTACTTTTTTCAATCAATACGTCTTTATCAAAACCATAAAAATAAAAAATAAAAATAAAAAAAATAAAAAATTCAATGTCGGTGGTGCACATCAATTAGTGTTCTGTCAAATGTAGTTCTGTTTCTCAAAGATCACGCACTTGTATATGCAGGTTTACTCAGGCCTTCAGTCTCGCGTGGGACTTGCAAATTTTTTATCTGATGGCTTCTCTTGGACACTTCTAAGGTGCATTCATGGCGACCAAAAAGTTCATTCTGCCCAAAGATTTGTTGCTTTGAAGGCAGAATGCAACTCAAAATTAGCTGTTGCTCTTAAAATCATGGAGGAGTGTTTTCTCTCCATGGTAGATCCAAGAACGGGCATAGCCATGATACCTCATGTATTATACAACTGGGGGTCAGTGATTCTGTTTGATGATTCTTCCAATTATCTTTTTTCTTTCTTTCTTCTTATATATATATATATATATATATATATAACTCCCTCCTCTACTCATTTTCTCTCAAACTTTGGCTCTAACAAAAGAAGGTACCATTATTGTCTCGATTACAGTACAGAAGTACTTAGTTTTACAGTACAGAAGTACTTGGGTCTTAGATATTTTCCTACGACTTTTTAAAGGGTGTTGCTGCTAATTCCCTTACATATACACGACTTTGGTGTTGCAGTTCTTAACTAATATCGCTTTTCTCTTCTTTTTTTTTTTACATTATTATCATTATTATTTCTAGTACAATATTTTTTGTTGAACTAACATATATATATATTATTTTGGTTCTCTTCAGGTCTACATTTGCACGTCTTAACTATCATGGCTTTTACACAGTGGTCCTGGAGAAAGATGACGTGTTGATTTCTGTAGCATCAATCAGGTACTTTCAGATCAATTTCTTGTGCTTACCTATTTGTTTGAATCTTCTCTCTGGGAACAGTTAATAACCTTAATGCCTCCCATGATAATCATATGATCTAATGTTTGAAATTTAGCATTACATAAAGTTTTTCTAAGATTTAATCTCCATATGTTGGTTATAAAAGCTTCTAAGTAAAACATATGCCAATTGTTTTGACAAACGCAACGAATCCAAGATAAAACCAAGAATCACGACAGAAAAGTAAACACACCAAACAAAGAACACAAAGATTTGTACGTGGTTTGGCAACAACCTACGTCCACGGTTGGGATCCGGCGAAAGCTTTCACTATATGTAAAATTGGAAATTACAAGTTTCAACGCCTCACTTTGTTTCTGTACGAATTTTAAAGTCTCTCTTCCACCACTCCAAACCCTAAACGCCCTTATATATCAGGCTACAAGAGACTAATTAGGGTCCACGGCCCATGAGCAAAAAAGGGTCAAAAAATTTTCAACGGGTCGTCGGGTTGTAGCACCAAATTCGGGCCACTACATCACACCAATGTTCTAGACTTTTCTGTCAGTAATGGCAAGATCAAATCTTAAGATACAACTACGAAAAAAAAATCTTAAGATACCCCCTGAAATTTAGAAAATTATCTTATATTGGTTTTTTTAATTTGTTGTGACACGGGAGACACTTCTATTTTTTGCACTGTCATGCCATTTACTTTTGGTATGGTGGTTACTCTTCCGTCTTTTGCATCAAATACATTTATCTGGCATATAGTATACTTTTCATGTTGACGCGAACATGACTGGAATTGGCGTATAATCTTGGTACATTTTTAAGATTAACATGTGTCTAGATGATTGCTCAACTTAAAGGCTCAAATGACTGTTAAATTAAGAGATTGGGGACTCCTCTTCTTCTTATTGGTAGATTATATTGGACTCTTCTTCTTGGTAGATTAACAGGTATCTCAATGATTGCTCAACTTGTAAGGTTCAAATGACTGTTTGAATAAGGAAATTGTTTGAACAAGAGAATAGGGGAGTTTTTTCAGTTAAGCTCCATAAGCATGTGCGAGTTATGGTTGCTATTTTCTTTAACTGTATAGTCTTATTACCTCATAAGGAAGCTGAGGATTGGTGGGAACATTAGCTTTTGATGTCCTGTTTATGACATTTTTCTTTCATTTTTGAAAGGCGGGGAGAATTTCGGGATTTGTACGATATTCTTGTCAATTTTTATGTTCCTATTATTTACTTTGCCCTGTCCTGGTTAGAGTCATTTGAGTGGGAGAATTCTAGTAGACATCCAAAAAAACTTAGAAAATGACTTCATTTATTATTTTCTTGCTCTTTTATAAAAATGGATTTTCATTCTTAATTTAGTATCATCATAAGGTAAAAGGGTGCCTTAATGAGAACAGTATTACCAACAACACAAAAATTTCTGCAGTGGTAGAACCTGAGTAACCAATACTGTGTAGTGAGAGCATCCTTTTGATGTTATCTCAAGGTACATAGTGCCTCTAGAGTCCAGAGTGCATGTATTCTTGTTTATGTAATGCATAATATGATTTACTAAATTCATATGTATATATAAGGCGAGAAGTTTTCAAGTGAAAGAAATGAATACGAAAACCTGGAAACAGAGGAAATGCTGTGCTCCAGTAATTGAATATATGTTCTCCTCCTTGGGGACGAGGGTTCAAGTGTTGATCGGTTGTTCTATGGCTTTTGGTATAGCTTGCTTGAAACCATGAATTTAGGATGCATTTGCTCTATGACTCTGACCAAATCTGTGGATTTTAAACAAATTTGCCAGCCTTCCAGGCAGATTAAGTTAGTAGGGCTATAATCCACTTGGGATTACTGAGGCTTAATATATTCCATGCTGCATGTTGGTGGACAAGTTCAGCAAGATGCTCAATTGATTGTTGATTGTGTTCATCAGCATTTGACTGCTGCTAATCCTTTGGTGAGCCCTTATTTTTTCATAGTCCTTTTTATACAAAAGAACTTGATTTTTTTCTTTTTAATAAACAATAGGAGAATATGGCTATACAAAACGTGGAAATATGAAAAAAAAAAATTACTGATTAAAGCTAACAGAAAATCAAGTGCAACGAGAAGATAGCAGTGTACCCCTACAAATGCAACCCATCCTTTTGTCTGGGACAGATGGGCCATCTAGAAGGTAATATGTTGTTGCACCTCATTTAGCCATACAGTCAGATCTATCACTGTTGAACTTGGAATTGCTTGACAAGCTTGTAAATATTAATCTATGAACTCAACCATAAAGACTTGTGCATAAATTTTAATTTAGGTCATTATTTCGAAATGTGCATATGCAATTAGGCATGTTCCAAAGTTCTCATCAATAAAAGATAGTTAACTTCGTTCTATTTCCAGATGTTTGGAATTGACAGCCTGATGGTTAACTTCGTTCTATTTCCAGATGTTTGGATTTGACAGCCTGAATTCTGTTTCTGCCTTTCTAGTCTCTTGGAATTGTCCTTCGTTAGAATATCAGATACTAGTTCTCTCTCTCTCTAAAATCACCTTTGCACTTTTGGGCCTTCCTTGCCCTTCTCAACTCAACAAAGCCTTGCCCCCTGCCACTAAACATGTGAATGAGCTACTTCATTGGAAAATTTTCACCTAAATGGTTATATTATTACTCTTCTCATCATTGCTAGTTTCCTGTCACTTCGTGCTCTAGACAAAGTTTCTTGCTTCCTGTGTCTGAACCTCCAACTTGCAAAATAATACAGGATATCCCAAGTATAGATATAAACAATGTTTTTCATGCAGGATCCATGGAGTAACAGTTGCAGAGATGCCCCTTATTGCAACTTGCAGTAAATACCGTCGCCAGGGAATGTGTCGGCGGCTTATGAATTATATTGAAGAGGTAGATTATGCAATCACAAAATAACTCTCTCTATGTCCTGATTGTTTCTTGTATGTGGTTTTTCTATCCTCCGCATTTCACAATAAATTTCTCTTATCAGAAATGGAAAAACAGAAGGAATTATTATTACTAATACGGATATCTGCTGATAAATATTTATTTTTATACATGTGCATTTTGTAGAGGTCTTATTTTAAGGAAAAACACTTTTTAATTTCTTTAAATAATCTTCCCACCACCTCACCAGTGCACCCATATATACATATATTATGTATACACTCGCATATGTATTGCCACCGAAAAGTTTTTTTATCATTGCTGTGAGCAATAGGCCTTTGTCTTTTAATAACAAGAACCTCTTGGTTGCTGTGTAATAATTTTCTTTTTGGTTTCATCTTTTAAATGGTCCATGTGATCTAGATGCTAAAATCTTATTTAATTCTTATTTCACTGTGGCTCCAGATGCTAAAATCTTTCAAGGTTGAGAAGCTCGTACTATCTGCGATTCCCAGTTTAGTGGAGACATGGACTGTTGGTTTTGGCTTTAAACCCTTGGAAGAGGATGAGAGACGAAGCTTGAACAACGTAAACTTGATGGTGTTTCCAGGAACTGTATGGCTGAAAAAGCCTTTGTATGATAATAAAAAAACACATCAAGAAGCAAGTAAGAATTTTCTTCCATATTCCTGATTAAACCCACTTTTTCCTTTCTAGTGATCTTCAATTTTCTGAGGAACTAAAATAAAATTTCTCTCAGGCAATACAGGGCCAGGTCTTGAATCACCCTCGGAAGCAGATTATACAGCTGAAACGAAAAATTGCTCCCGGGGAGAGCCTATCGATGAGACTGCACAACCATCTAATGAAATTTCTGCGGTTAAAGAAATTGACACTGAAACAGAAATTAGAGGAGGAGGAGAGCCCATCGTTGAGACTGCACAAGCATTTGATGATATTTCTGCTGTTAAAGTAATTGATTCTGAAACAGAAATTAGAGAAGGTGGCCGCCAGAATTCAGTCGCAAGTGAATACCAAGATTGTAATTTGGACAAACTTTTCTCAAAGTTGTCATGTGTAGAACCAGCTTCATTGTTTCGGGAAAGCCCACTTGAAGTGGTTTGTCATGTTGAATCCTCGGATGTTTTGCAATTGAAATGAGAAAGAAAATCATCTGTATTTCAAAAATAACCGTGTTGTGCTTGTGTGTGTGTGTATGTGTTTTTTTTTTTCTTTCGGAAAATGTTGTCGTGATTAAAACTAAACTACCAGAAACTAGTCATTGTTTTGATCCTTTAACCATCACTTGAAAAGTAAACAGGGAAATTTACTAATGAAACAAGTTTGGTAATCATTTCTTTCATTTATTACAAAGGCATGGTTTAGCATTTTACATTCCCAATATCAACATGAGCTTCCTTCAAATATGTGCTATTCACCAAATCTCATGCATATAGCCTACCAAGCCCAACAAGCATAAAAAAGAGTAACGCACAAGCCATAATAAAGCCGAAGTAAAGCCATTGAGCTTAGGTGAGCATGGCAATTACTGGCCAGCAGCAAAAGCCTCCACCGGGAAGGTCTTGGTGATGCCGGCGAGGCTCTTAAAGTGGATCTTTCCGGTGGGTGGATCATCTAGACTGATTTCGCTAACTGGTGGCCAGAGCATGAGCTCTTTGGCCTTGACACCCTTGAGCTTCTTAATCTTCGTCTTCTCCACATAGCCATAAATCTCGGAGTCATAGCTCACGAGCTTGCTGATCATCTTAAACTCGTGCTCAACGTTCTTTTCTTGGACGATCCACATGTACCCGGTGCTCTTGACATAGCCAACCTCGACCACGTTGGCTAGAGGGAGAAGTCCAAGTGGGAGTCCAAACTCTTCGAGGAGTGAAATCGCCAGTTTTAGTCCCTCTTCGTGGCCCTTATTGACAATGCCTCCTTCCTTCTCTGCCATTGTTAGTATCGTGTTGAGAACTACAAATTCAGAAATTTTAGGTATTTTGTATTGTGATGTTTTCAGTATCATGGTGGCCTATTTATATATATGTGGTGATAGCTACTTACTGAGAAATGGGACAAAGTAGATGGTTGAAACCTAAGTATTGTGGCATCGTGTTTAACTCAAATAATTGTGTATTGGCCCATTGTGCATTGTGTTTATCGTATGATTTTGTTTTGTACATTACAACACATTAAATTATATATATGTGTATAGTTTTACTTGTAAAAGGAATGGAGAACACAGACAATAAAACAGAAACAAAACTAAATAAATCAATATAGACTCTTTTGGCCCAAAGAAGAACAACCTTATACAATGGCCTTAAGCTCAGAGTCCAGAATGGATTGTAAAAAAGAAAGGAAGAGCAAGTTTACTTAGAGATCAAAGCCTGCAGGGGATTGAGCCACCAGTCCAAAACTCACCATCTTCTCCCAAGCTTCCTAGCTCCATCCTCCTTACTTCAGAACCACCTGAGAGTCTGTTGAGCTCAATTTGTCACACGCCGCCTAATTGCAGAGAGGCTACACCACCCAGACATACGACACACGAGTGCTTAGGACAGCGTCTGCATGGCATGAGGAGGATGGAGTTCTAGGGTCTTTTAGAGTTGGGTGGAAGATTGTGAAGTGATGGAGAAAGTTGGAGGATTAATTTTAGAATGTCGGAGAGGTGAGGAGTGTCCTTTGTAACAAATGACCCCAATTATATCTAAAACACACTGATGATTCAACTGTAAGTTAGTTGTTTTTGTAACAAGTTTGATATGATACTCAACAATATATAAATATGGATTTGTCTACTTATAGATGGTTCAATTTCTCATTCTATTCTATTGGCTTACTTAAAACTAATTAAAATTTGTCTATTCTTTTAGGTGTCCTATTCTTTTAAATATCCTATTTTGTTTTTGGAATATATATATTTTTTTCTAGTTAGTAGAAACTGACACACACGGCCTCCACTGAAGTTTGAATCCCTGACACCGCTAGGCCACAGGTCTGTTGGTTGTTTTTGGAATATTAATTAGCGTAGTGAAAACTAATTGAAAAAAAATTAAAGGATTTTCAACAAAGAAGAACAATTTGTGATATATATATATATCACAAATTTGATTGACAAGTGCATTTGCATGGATATAATAGTTCTTGTTCACATTAGATTTATACATTTGGGTTTAGGTACATAGCATTACCAAGGTATATATATGCGTCTATATATATGGTGGTTGGTGGTAGGAAGTTGAGAGGGGGTGGTGATGGCCATCGTTAGAGGGTGGAGGTGGCCATGGTTAGAGAGTAGGGGTGGAGATGGCAATGGGGCGGATTTCTCATTCCCGATCCTTGTTTAAATTTGGCATTCCCAAAACCTTATTTTTTTTTTACCCCTAATCCCCACAACCGTCACCACCACGCCCCCGAATAAATTTGAGGGTTTTTTCAGGTTTTTATTACTACAAAATCAAACTGTGAAAAAGAATTAAAGTAAAATCTAGATGATCAAATCAAACTGTGAAAACAAAACCCAATTGTGAAAAGGTAGAACTTGTTACTTCAATATATATATATATATATGACTAGGGTCTTAGCATTGATCGGAGATATGTGGCCGGAAAAGAAGAGAGAGAATATGGTGAAGGATTGAAGGAGGCCGCATGATGATGAGGAATTGAGAAGTGTCGATTCGCTTCATTGCTCAGCTAAGGCTGTGGAGATTTGCGGCCGGAGAAAGAGAGAGAGAAGATTTGAAGCTGGTGAAGGAATTCGCTGTTGTGGAGATTTGTGGCCGGAGAAGAAGAGAGAGGAAGCAGTAGGACGCTTTAGAAGATAGGAATGAGTAGGGTTTATTTAGAAGTGTGTATATATATATATATAATATGTAAAATTGGTAAGTACAATAACATGGCAGGGCTAATTGGAGTAACTCCATATGTAATCGGGTCGGTTGAAGGCGGGGTACCCCTCCCTCGCCCCGAATTCGGCGGTTTTTTTTTTCTAACCCCCATCCCCACCCCACTTAAATAAACGGTTCTCCAAATTTGCTTTAAATGGGGCAGGGGCGGGGTGGTTCGTTGGGGTAAGTTGTCATCCCTAGGTAGGGGTGTATGAGGTGGAGAAAATAAAGTGATAGATATGGAAGAAGAGAGCGGAGAAAGAAAATAAATATAATAATGGTAACTTTATTATTTTTTGTAATGTTATGATAAGGGTGAGGTGTTGTGCTTCAAAATGCTTAGTTTTGGGGCATAGGACAAGACCACAAGTCCTCCTCAACAGGAGGGGATCCAAGTCCTTTAGGGATACCACCTAATTCCTCTACATACTTCATATTCAAGGTTAATTTCCTATTTATAAACTACTCTCTCTTGTACACTATTTCTCATTCTATTCCATGTTTAATTGCGTTTGGTAACCATTAAAATTTTTAGTAATAGATCTTTTAAATGAACTAGAATTTGGTAGGGGTGCACACGGTCCGGTTTGGACCGAATTGGGAGTATTTTGGGACCAAATTATTTATAATGGTTCCACTATTTTTGAAACCGAATCATAATGTCTATGGAACCAAACCACGAAAAACTGGTTCGGTTCGGTTCGGTTTGTCGGTTTCAGTTGATTTTCTTTTTATTTTATTTTAATTTAGAGGGGGGCAAAGTTTAAAAAATAAAAAATAAAAAATTTAAGAATAAAAAAAGGAAAGAAAATGAAGATATATTTGAAAGGAAAGGGAAAAAAATTAAGATATATTTGAAAAGGGAAATTTGACTTTTTAAAAATTTTTTTTTTAAGGAATTTAAAGAACAAAAGAAAGAAAGGGGGCACCTAAAAACCTTACTTGATTTAGGTTTAGAATATAATATACATATATATATATATATATATATATATATATAACATAGTAACGGTTCGGTCCGGGTTGGTCTGGTTCAGCAGGACCCTAAACCAGGACCGGACTGAAAAATTACCATTCTATAATTTTGGGTCCAGGACCAAACCAAACTGCTATACAAGTAGCCCAAACCGTCCAATTCAGTACAGTTCGGTCTGATTTTTCGATTTACCTGATTTTTTGAGCACCCTTAGAATTTGGAACTTTTAAAACTCCATTCCGAATATTTTAGATTAATAATTTTTCCTAAGGCAATTTTATTCTTTTTTATTTTTTATAAAGACAATTACACTCATTCATTTATAACTTTACTATAATCAAATATTGTAATACATTAAAAAATATTGATACGAAATAAATTTAAAAATAATTTAATTGTGAAAAGTATTTATTATAAAGTGACACCAAAACACTTAATTTATTAGGATATATTCTAGGAAAATAAAACTTTCAAAGAAGAGAAAATAAAAAGGCTTTCATAAAATACTTGTAGAATCGAGAACGAAGTTTTCATTAGGTAGATCATGAATTAGTAACTGCATCCAATTTCCAAAGAAATCCCAATGGTTTCGAATTTTCTATTTTTGGAATGGAATATTTACGAAATCTACATGAATAGTATCAAATCTTATTTGATGACATTTACATTATATAATTAGAAAATAAAAAAAAGTAATAAATAAAGAAAATATAAATAAAGAAAATAATTTTTTATTTTTTTTTATTGGACCACATTAGTGGTAGAATCACTTACTGGTAAGTATCGTCCTTTAAGACAAATTCGTGTGTGGAACCAGCAAAATTCTGAAAAATTTTATTAAGAAAGAAGGAGAGTAAAATTAGAAATCCATTTTTGTACAACTCTAATAAATAAATAGTGTTCAATTAGGAATCTTTTTCAGTAATGGAAAAGAACAGAATCTCTCAATGATTATCACGGGTTTCCATAATTGATTTGAAGACAAGTTTTGGACACTATTTATTCTGAGTCGCCAAAAAAAAAAAAAAAGGTTACTCTTTATCTTCCTACATACTTCACAGAATTGCAATTATATTGAAGAAGATGGGGACAGGAAAGAAGAAGATTGAGTTAAAGATGAGGGAGACAGAAGAACAAAGAATGGTGACATTCTCAAAGAGACGCAAGGGTCTCTTCAAGAAAATCAGTGAACTTCACTGTATGACCGGTGCCGAGACCGCCATCATCGCTTTCTCGCCGGCCGGCAAGCCTTACACACACGGCGAACCCTCCTTCAATTCTACAATGGGCCGTTTTATAGGATATAACGAAGAAGACGACTATGATAATGACGATACAGATACGTTCAAGTCATTGTTGGAAGCTATACAAGTTGATGATTATTGGGACCCAGATGAACTAGGTTCGTTGAAGCAAAAATTAAAGGAGATCTGTGGGATATTAGTTAGTAGAAGGGATGATAATGTATAATTAACAATGACTTTATAGTTTTTTTTTTCCTGTTTAACCATAGTTTTTGCTATTTATACTTTTAATATTATTAATTTTTTCTTACTAAGTGCGTGTATGGATCAGCCTAACCAATCTAACTTTTTCAGTATTAATCAATAAAATTTAGTTTTCTACAAACCATGGAGTGTGTGTAATAACAAATAGACTTAAAAGAAAATTTTATAAAAATCTTACGAAAACTTAGATTTTTAGTTCATAGGTATATTTTCAAATTAATTTCTGCGTTCTTTTTTTTTTTTTTTTTTTTTTTTTTTTTTTCTCGGTTCAGGTCTTTCCAAAGATGATATAACCATTTTAGCTCACCCCCAAAAAATAAAAGATATACACGCGAGACCATAATAATGCACAGATTGACATTATTTTTTGTTTAATACGGGCTTTTGCATAAATTACCCGGGTGTCTTGCTAATAGAGTAGTTCCTTTGAATGTAAACATATTAAAGTGTTTCGTAGAGGAGGAGTTACGCTTACTTGTTTTTTAGTACAAGCAGCTAAAAATCTTTTTTGAGGTGGAAAAACCTTTTGGGTGGAATTTTTGAGGTTGGAAAAACCTTTTGGCTTCCACCCAATCCAATCACAAGAAATATCAAAAGTGAGTAAAGTACAAATGACCAAGACCATGGACCATCAAATAATTTCATGATCAGAGACTAACTAATAATTTCTATGATCAAAAGACTAACCCAAGATAAAAACCCAGCTTATTCTCTTAAACTCGGATTATACTCTGTATTAAGCCAATCTTATTACTCTATCAAGCCAATCATACAACGTTATTGACCTGTAAGTCTTTTGAGGTAAATTTGTTCATCACTGAATTCACCTAGAAAGAAAGCAAGCCGCAAGATACATGAAACTCTCAAGCTCAGATTGTCATTTCCTAGAGATGAACGAGCCTGACAAATAGACAAAGACCATTACGAACCATAATTGGACAATTTGTTGCCTCAAAACTTCAATGCAGCAAGGACCAAAGCCATAAGCGACCACTAGTAGGATACTGTGAAAATGAAGGCATAAAACTTATCAAGCACCGGCATTTCCTCCTGTATGTACTTTGATCTTGAGCCCTCCCCCATATTTTAAATGATTTTCCATACATAGAAAATCCCAACTAAAAGAATAGTACACAAATTCAGGAGATCATAAGAAATACGAGAGTATTTTATCTAATTATACAATTTCAAATATAAGGTTTCAAAGTATAGAAACAATTATCAAGCCAGTAATTGTAACTCCAATGGTTCGATCATCAGTTCCTCCAAATTTGCATTTAAACTCCAGTCATTAGAATACATTTGCATATTTTGTTATTTGGCAGGGAAAACCTAGTTTCCACCACATCATCAAGCACCACTTGCATATAGGCGGGTCCACTCCTTTGCTACAGGATTCAAGAAAAATAGACATCAGTGAAGATCATATCTGTTTTTAAAAACTAATGTCACCATTTTTAGCACCTTTGATTAAAATCGTTCAACGTGGTCAAAATGGACACCGATAACAATTTACCTGTTTCAACGGCTTCAGCCTCATTACTTTTCCAATGCTTCGCAATGTTCTCAGAGAGTGGATCATCTGGATTAGGAGCACTCAGAAGAGCTTGAATGCTAAAAGAGAAACAACCAAATGATGTTGGTTTCATCAGAACTAGGCAATAATACTTCAATTATTCAAGGATGATCGATCATTTTTAGAAAGACTCCTACTACTCGAAAGCTCTTCCGTATTTATTGGTGTCCAGTTGCGCTTTTCTTTTTCGTTTGTCGACAAATTATTTAAGGCTGGCATTATTGCAGGAAATATTAAATTGCTGCGTTGGCGACCCTTCAAACCTTTAAACTCAACGTGTCAACTGGAGTCTCTGGCTTCTCGTTCTATTGCTGTTTTCTACTCTAGTCACTGCTACCTACCACATATATGACAGCACCATATAGCACCATCTCAATCTCTCCTTAATCCTCAATCTCATAGAAGCCTTAATTTCTTAACGCCATCATCTACTTCCCTCTCCATCTCTCTTGCAATATTGAGAAGCCCATCACCACCACCCTCAACAGTTTACCAATGCCAACCTAAAGCCCATATTAGATTCTATGTCACATGGAATCTGATACATTTGTCAAATGTGATGTGTTTAAGCATCAGATTTATCAAAATTTTCAAACAAATAACACAACAAAAAAATTATGCGTGTCTTCAATAGTATTTTCTAGAAAAAAGTTGTGTTATGTAACAATGAATGCCCAACATGGAATTGTTTATGAAGTAATAACATAACAAAAGGAACATAACGGGAAAAAAAGGTTATATTTACTATCATATTAATAAACTTGAATTGTAATATGCTTGCTAGGTAGTGTATGCTCAATTGACATGTCATATCGTAATATCCCATACAAGAGATCCAAAATGCCACACCACCTCCGCTGATGCACCTTTTCTATGACTACCCCCAACCATAACACAATCAATCACCATTTCCATAACCAAATTCAAAACCCCAAAATCACCTCCACCTTACCCCCAATCAAAAATCACCAACTCCCATAACACTACCAATCTATATCCCACCTCCATATTCAATGAACCCAAAATCTCCACCGTTTGACCATAATTGTCATTCTCATCCACCAAATGATTAAATTTCTTGTCCTTCCTTTTTTTCCTCCATACTAAAAAGTGAGAGAGCACATTGCATATAACTATTTAGAACTTATTATATTAGTTATTCTCCTTTGAATGTTTTCTAACAATGAAAAAACCATTCAATTGAGTGCGTATGGACAAAATAGAAATTTCCTTTCGTTCTACATTTTTGGGTAAACACTCCAGTAGTACATATGTAATATCCATATGTTTTTGCCACCATTTAAATCTTAACAAGAAAGCCATTACAGAACAAGTACATGGAGGATTTTAATAGTTTTATATATATATATACACACATCTATAATATTACCTCAAGAGCACAGTTCGAATTTGAAGAGCAGGACTCCATTTGTCTTTGAGAATATCAAGGCATATCCTTCCGAGCTGCAACAAAAGACTCATTCTGTAAGAAGGGAAGAGCTGAAACCTAAAAAGAGAAGGGAACAAAGCAGGCACAACAGACCTTATCAATGTTAGGATGGTATATTTTGGTGAGAAATCGAACCTATTACAAGAAAAATATACGAGGGATAAGTATGGTGGTCAAATGGCCAGCTCTTGGAAAACTTCATTGTGAAAAAGCCAATAATAGTTCCATGAATAGGAGAACAGAAAAGTGAGTGTGCTTGCGCACAACATATAGGAGATAAAAGAGAACCATGCTATCCAATGGTTCCAGAAGAGTGAGTGATCCTGTCAATGCTACACAAATCCAACCAGTTTCAACAGATCTGTTTTTGCATGATAGATATACCACAGACTTCACAGTTCACGTCAGACAACCTGTTCAAATCCAAACATCCCTCACAATCCACTAGGTTTCTATTCGAAGATTGGATTAGCCCACTTAAATGTGCTGATAGATCATATATTGATATCCAATACATATATAGATATCCATACATAAAACACGTGTTACGTATGTACACTTCAGATGCATAAAATGCCAGTGTCTTGGGGAAGGTATCAACAATACAGAAAGATTTCTTTACTGAGATTAACTATAATCAAGAACACTTGCAACGTTCCCTCAAGCTCCAGCATCCTACACTCCTAAAATTTTACCCGTTTGCATATATTATTTATCTCGATAACCACTGAGCAGGAAATGTTACAGATTAAACAGTAGTAAGAAACTTGGATGCAACACTCTTATGTCATATATTTGTTAATTCAAGTTCATTAAAAAGAATTCTTTAGATCCTCCAAAATCAAAATTCACATTTTCACACTTTTTACACTATTATGATGAGCTGCCCACTTCAATTTCAAATAGATGTTTAGCACATTAAAGCTTATTAAAGAATAACGAGGCTTACCTTGGCATTGGCTTCACCAAAACATAGGTCCAAGTACAATAGAGTTCAAGATCTTCCTTCTTCAAATTTTAAATTTTAACGATGGGCTGCCTTCTCCCTGTCTAATAAATGCTTAGCACACTAAAATATTATTAAGCTCTAGCCTAGCATACTAGGAAAGAAAAACCACATTACACAATGGTGGTAAGCTATACACACTTTAGCTATCGCCTATCTTCTCCCAATCCAATATATACTTAGCTATATGTTTCTTTGTTGAGGGAGGTTCTCTTTATAACCTTACATTTTAGGTAGTGTGATTAGTTTAAAGCTAACAGAGTGACTTAGGAATTTGGAACTTTCCATCTTTTATAAGGAGATTGATTGTCTCGATCTTATCTAAATCAGCCCATTTTTCATTTGTGGAACTCTTATAAAGTCTCCAAGAAATTATACATAGCTAAAAGCAATGCAGCTGCGCCAACTCCGCTTTCCCAATGCATGTTTTCAGATCGTGAATTACATTCACAACCTAGCAATGACAACACCCTAGCAAGCAATAAGCAACATATCATCCCTTTTATTTTGCTCGAAGTTTTTCAAAAGAATCATTTTTCATGCCTCGACAAAGACCATGGATCTATGAGAACAGCCAACCAGTCTTACAATCCGTCCTTTAAAGATAATTGGCAACCTCCCATTAGTAAAATTCATCACTACCACTAGTGTGCATAGAGAGGGTAAAAGACAATGAGGCAGACCAAAACTAATTGGAATGAACTAAATAGAAATGACTATAAAAAATTAAATATACAAGGAGACAAGGCTACAATAGAGAGAATTCATGTGGCTAAACCCATTCGTTTGAGATTAAGGCAAGGATGATGACGACTAGTACCAACATTATATATTAAAGCATTAAAATATACTCCTGCATGGCTGCATCAACATCTACAAATGCAACTGTAACCATACAATACCTTAACCAAATATTGAAAAGTAGGGGTACCATTTAAATTAGAGAGAGCAGCAGATCCTCATAATCAAAGAGATCTAAGGATGATAAGACCAAATGGTACCCAAAAAAAACACCAGGAGAAGATATTGGGAACTTAAAAAGAAATGACCAGGCAATCCCAAAGTAACCAGTTTCTGCACTATTAATAGAATGGATTAAGTAGAGAGTTTTTAAAATGTTGTACTAGAAATTGAAAGGAACTTTGAATGACATGGCCATGCAAAAATACATGCCCCATCAATACAAATGTTGCAAGTCCAAAAATACAAATCTATATATGTGATAATTTTGACGCAATTGAATTTCAAGATTGTGAACATCAAAAGAATGCCATATCAAAGCATTTATGAATCAGAACATCAAAAATTGATTAAACTGGTTACTCTTCATCAATTCCAGTTGAAGAACCTAGAATTAACTTAAAGGAAACGGCCTAAACTAGAGCAAAATGGTGAAAATATGGCCCAAACTACAGCAGAATAGTGGAGAAGTATTGATCCAAGTATGTAATCAACCTGAAATAATAAAGATTAACGGCCTTCATAGATGAGTTGACTTGACTTGCTCCATGAGGCCAATAACCCCAGCATAACATAGACCATATGTAACATTACTGTTCACATACATTAACCTAAACTCCAACAACATTGATTGGACATAACATTACCCACAAACCTGGCAAGACCAGCACTCAACAAGAACAGCAACTGAAAATACCAAACGATAATTGACTGCCTTCTTCAGTCATGGCAATATCTAGAAATGTCATGAAAAAATTCATTTCTGGATGGCAAATATAAAAAATTGTCTAAAGATAACAAAAAAAATACATCAAATGATATGTAACATGAACAAGGATAAGAGAGAGAGAGACAACGCGATAAAACTTCTCAAGGAAAAAAATAAATATTTTGGGAGCACAACCTATAATAATATGAATTAACTATACATCATAACCCCTTTTAGGTAAAGTGGGGAGCCTGTATGCATGGATTCCCATTTTTATTTTTTTGTTTTCCTTTCCTCCATTCTAGCTCCTCCCCAAGAATTCCCCAAGAAATCTTGGTACAATGCATGAGAAAACAGGGTGAATCCCCTACTTAATATTCCTAAGGCATAACTCTTCACTGTCTTCTTGAACATATCCATTCAATGTCCACCATGCTCCCGTTCTTAAGGGTAATTTACTATACAGCTTTCCTATCATAACCACAAATAAGTTTGCCAAAGCCTCAAATTTCCAAATACTTCTTTTAAACTTTGTAGAATAAGATATTAAGATCACGTGCCATATTCTACAAGAATGGATGGCATCACTATTAAAGCACACATAAGGTAGTCCATTTAGTTAAAATTGTTCATTCAGGTAAACACACAAGATGTGATGGTTATGAGTCAACATAACAAAGAATTTATAACTAAAGGCAGCATAGATTGCTGCAAACTGGACATACATAAATCAGAATTTAACAGGAATACCAACTATGCAATACAAATATACAATTAGATTGCATTTTCACTACAAAGTCATCAAACAATTATACTACAATCATCAAAAAATAATGAAAAATGAATACCATAATAGATGCAATTGTTCCCTTTCATGTATTAAAATATTTACATGGATACCAGAAGAAGAAGTAGAGAAATGGTTCATGACTAGTTGCTAATGAATGAACCATCAACTAAACATCAAACAACATAATTAATTAAATCTCACACAACTATGTTCCAATTGTGCCTTCAACTAATGCAAAGCATCGATTACCATAGCGTAAAAACCTTTAAGATAAACAGTACATAACTGCTGGGTTTCCTTGTAAAAATTGAAATACCTTGGGAGCAGCCATTGGGTATTCTTCAGGCAAAAACAATTCAAGCTTGAAAACCCCTCCTGCACAAATATTAGGGACAATGTTAGCATATATTAAGTAATAAAATATAAAAGAGGGGGAAAGCATATAAAAGTAATAAATAAAAATTACACTATTAAAAATCAGGTTTCAATTATTTGGATTTTGAGAAAACAAAATTCTTCTTAAAAATACCTTTCCAAAAAAAATCCTTCATAAAACTGAAACTAATGCAACTACCTAGCTTATTCAAGGCAAAATTTTCCAATAGATAACTATAACAGCATGAAGCAGTAGATTCAAAAGCCATTACAATCGGTAAAATAAAGCAAATTAATGTCAACTAATATAAAAAACAACCAATCATTCATTTACAACACCACTACCACCAAAACAAAATATATTAAGAAAAATTTAATACACAGAAAACCTTGTCAAACCAATTACCTTCATAAGGAGATTGCGTTGGACCAAGAATCATAACATTAAAATACCGCATATTGTCTTCTGAAGGGGACGCACTAATTCCTGGTGCTGCAGACACAGATAAAAAAAATAATAATAATAAAAAAAAACTGAACAGTCAAATTCATATTACATTTCAAAAATTAAGTTAAAAATTAAAACTTTATGCCCAATGAACACTCCAAAACAATTATGAAATCCACACAACAGCTCAATAACAAAACAGCCGAGAAAAAACAAACATAACTTGTAATTATTACCAAATCACTGATACATTTCTGGCTCTGAAGCTTCTAAAGGTCAAATATACAGCACATAAGATAAAAGCGACAATACATACATGTATAATTATTTATGTATGAGTACATACATATATATAGAGAGAGAGAGAGAGATAGGAGTACCTGGCTCACTAAGGAGACGCTGAGTTTCCTGATAGATCACGAAGAATAAAGCGATCGAACAAGAAAAAGCGTCAAAATTAAAGCAAATGATGATCAATCAAAGAAAAACTAAGAGTATGCGAAGAATAAGTCATGACATGCAGAAACGATTTCGAAAGCGAAGATGTTGAGAATATACACGGAAATCGAACGAATTCACAGAGGGATCGAGAGAAGAAAGCAAAAATCAAGACTCCTACCTTGATAATTCTTCGAGGTAAATTGCTGTTCGCCATTGAAGAAAGTTCGATTGCAAAGTACGCTAAGGGTTTTGAGGAAATGTAGAGAGAGAAAGAGAGTAGAGAGAGAAGCAGGTTGAATTGGAAGACCTCCTTTTCTCTCTCTGAAAAACTAGGAGAGGGTTCGCTCGAATTTTAGGGGTTTTTTATATGCGGAATATATATATATATTGCCAATACGGAAATGTTTTCTTCGTTTTGCAAGATGGGGCTTGCTTTAGCATTAATTGTGATTCCTACCAAAAGTGAAACAAACGCTACTTTTTCTGTGATTCCTTTAGTGGGCCATAAATAGAAGATGAGCGTTGGACCAGTGATAGTGGCCCATTTGATTATGAGCTTCGTTCTCCTTTCGGTTGTGCTCTTCTAAAATCGAATGCTGAGGACCGAGGACTGAGGAGGGAGGGAGGAAGCATCATTAGAGAACGGTCCCTCTCTCTCTCTCTCTCTCTCTCTCTCTCCTCTTTTTTTTTTTTTTTTTTTTCATTACTTTTAGAAAGTTACTAACTTACCTTTTTAAGTTTTAAATATTCAAATTTAAAATTTTAAGATTAAAATATGTGAAATATATTATTTGAAAATGAAAAATGGACACTTATTTTGGAACAAAAAAAAAAAAATGACACTTATTTTGAAACAAAAAAAATAAAAAAAAGGCAAACAACAGTTTGTTTCCTTTCATCCATCCCTCTATTATTTCTTCTAACCAACTGATATAGCATAAAATAATTCAAACTGTCAATCCGAGTTTGTGATTACATTGTAATTCAAGCCTCACTTATGAGGAGTAGTAATTTTTAAAGGGACATGTGGGACATGCATGGTCTCTAAAAAGTTACTAATTTGCCCTTTTAAATTTTAAATATTCAAATTTAAAATTTTAAAATCAAATGATATGAAATATATTATTTGAAAAAGAAAAATAGATAATTGGTTTGAAAAAAAAAATGTGACACTTATTTTGAGACAGAAAAAGTAAAAGGCAAGCAATGGTTTGTTTCCTTTCATCCACCCCTCTTATATTATTTCTTCCAACTAACTGGCATAGCATAAAATAATTCAAACGGTCAATCCGAGTTTGTGATTACTCTGTAATTTTCTTTTATAATTTTTCAATAAGGTGGGGTCAAGACAATTGTTAGTTGGTACTTTATTTTTATTTTTGGTACTATAGTTTGAGTTGAAAATAATTAATCCAGACAGCTAAGTATAGTAAAATATATATATATTTTTTTGGGTAAATAATTTAAAGTTGTTAATACAAACCTAACTGGATTATTTTTCATAAGATTGTTTAAAGACAGAATAATCCTTAAATTGTTGTGTTGTAAATCCAACCTGGTTTCAGTTTCAAACTTGATAACCAAAACTCACTCCATGTTCGGCAAAAATTGAAGAGTTTAAAGTGACGCACCTACACGGTGTTAACTGAATTAAGTTTAGATTAATCTCTCTGTCTGTTCAACTTGTTCGAATTACAACCTTACACCAGAAATTCAAGTCACTAAAGTCATTGCAGAAAAGTATTTCTAGAAGTCCATCGGATGAATCAAAAAAGTCATTAATACAGTAATAGTCTACAGAGTACAGACACATTAACTCTCTAGAGTCAAATGAAAAATATCTAAGAATATTGGTTTTGTTTGTACGAAAAATATCTAAGAATCTTGAACTATCAAGTGACCAACTAAATATAACCAACCACCTTTTGTACAAAGCCGGTGTGATTCCTTTCCATGGAGAAGTAGGTCCGACACCAACCTAATTTTTAGAGCTAATAATTTATGCAAATTAAACCTACCTCTCTCTTAAAATTTGTCAATATTCTACGTGAATCCCTCTTGACATCATAATCCTATTTACCTTTCCTAAAATTTGGATGGGAGGGAAGGAAGATGGATGAGACATCCATTCATCTTTCTGTTAGGTTGGATGGAACAAAAAAAAAAAAAAAATCAGCCAACTTACTGTGTTAATTATGAGGAAGAAAAAAACAAGGAGCTTTAAATTGTTTACACTATTATAATATTATTATTTAAAACTTTTATAATATCCCACTTTTTTTTTTCTTTCCTCTCTTTGCCCAAATTTGAAAGAACGGAAAATGGAATGACTCATCCATCTTGTTATACTTACTCTCAATTTATCATCTTTCCTCCATTCCTCTTCCTTCCTTTAGGCCTCATTCCAACCGAGGTTGGTATAATTGCAGATGCAAAACAAAATTAAGCAGCAATATAAAATAAAAGCAATGTCCTTGCAGAAAATAGGGTCATATTATTATTTTATTTTTGATACTGAAGAAGAGGAATTTGTCTAAATGAATAAGCCGATAGAAAAGCTCATGTTTATAAGAGCTCTGTTGTTTGGTAAGAGCTCTAGGTTCACTTGGTCACAAAACTCTATAGCAATGCAAACATAAACCAATTGCTGGAACCACATAAACCTGAACGATATTGCATTTCCACTAGAAATAAACTGAAGAGAAACATGAAAAATATGAAACTTCCTAATACAGCATTAACACTACCAATGTTATCCACAAACAGCAGAGCAAAGAAAGCTTGATGAATACAAACAACACTGATGCTTTGTCTAGACATCTACAATTATACATCAGTAACAACAACAGTGAACAATAATAGAGAGAGCTTCTGAATCATATTGAAACTTAAAACACAGTACACAAGACGACTGACACGGCAATGTCATCCTTCCCTAGTCCAGTCATTTCAACAGACGTGGGCTTCCAAGCAACTTCACTGCACACGAAAGAAAACAAGCACTTCTGTTTCTGAGAAAGGTTCAAAAGCTCAATGATCGAATTATTTAGATAAAAATAAATTGGTAAAAGTTCATTCAGCATTACATCAGGTTACATTGAACGGCCCTAGGTCTTGTTTTGGATTAGTAATGAAATTCTTTCAATGTACCAAAAAGAAATAACATAAAGGTGAAAAACCCACCTCAGCATCTTCACCTCCACCACCTTTGCCAGAGGTTTCCATCCTGTCTTCTGTAGAGTTAAATAATAACATAGAATAAGTTAATAGCCAAAAAAGGGAAATCACACCTAGAAATGACTATGAAATAAAGGAAGCATAATTATATGAGCACATAGAAACTTTATTTACTTTGAACATATAACCAAGGATGGGAACATTCATTACAAACCTCGAAACCAACCTGTTTGCTCAAAGCTAATGCAAATTAATCTGTCCACAGGTCAGATTGTGGTTGAGAATACAAAAGGCACATAAATAAGTTGAGGTGGGATATAAAAACCAGACATGAACTGATGGAGTAGAAGACTTGTTAGGATTTATTATTCCACACCAAGGGTAATGCTAGGGGAAGAAGACAAAAACTAACATGATTTGAGTTAGTAAGAAAAGATGTGACAACATGTGATTTGACTAAAGTTATGGCATCAAATAGAGAAGAATGGAGAAATAGGATTCATGTAACCGACCCCCCTAATAGTTGGGGAAAGGTTTTGTTGAGTTGCGTTCTTCAGGATGAATTTGATATTTAAGTATATTAATTGCAATGAAACTACAAACACACTGCCACAAAAACTATTGGTATTGTAAGTGGTCGTCACATATAAAAACGTAGATCACTTTGAATACTATAGTGATGGTTATTAGTAAATATAATGACGATGGGTGATGCTTCTAAAAACCAGTTCAATAGATACAGGAGTCTAATTTTCTCATTTTTGACAAAAATCCATTCAATAATGAAGAGGAGGAGATTAGCACTGTTGCAGAAGGTTTACAATGTCTATTCTCTCCCTCTCTCTCTTTATCTATATATACCTACAGTGAAAAAAATATAGAAGGCCTCAAGGGCTTTGCCTTGGTCTTCTGCTCTGCTCTTCTTTTCCTTTGTCCTCTGAACCCTAATGTCTCATTCTCGTTGAAGAAGAGTTTGGCAATTTCTTTCATTTTGATTTTCAATTATCAGAGTTATTGCAGGTCGAGGGTCTCGCATGGTTGGGCTTGATATATAAGTTAAAGGGTACCTTTGCTTTTAAAAGTACTCATTGGGAGGTAAAATATGGTGCGGCGCGAAGGTATACCCAACTAAAATGAAGAATATTTACTAAAACACAGCCGTACATTTCTAAACTCGAGTTGGTATGGGCCTTACACGAGTGTTGGGAAATTGGTTGACAAATGGTTCATTCGTGTCTATAAATCATATTAATAATTAGGAATTTTACAGATTACCTCCATCCTCGGGGATGTCAGAAGTCCACAAAGTGAGGTTGTCCCTCAAAAGCTGCATAATTAATGTACTGTCTTTGTAAGATTCCTCACTCAGGGTATCCAGCTCAGAAATGGCTTCATCAAATGCTTGCTTCGCAAGGTGGCAGGCCCTAGGATACAATCAATTAGCCAAGAGATCAGGTTCGACCATAAATGAGTTCCACATAACAGACATCACAGCAATCAAGTACACGACAGTTTAAATATACCTTTCAGGTGAGTTCATAATCTCATAATAGAACACGGAGAAATTTAAAGCCAAACCCAATCGGATGGGATGAGTTGGAGATAAATCAGTCTCTGCAGTAGTAGAAGCCATCTGCAAAACAGGTTACACAAATCAACAAGCTAATATATGGAACCGGGAATCAGTTACTGTAAAGTAAAGCGCGGGAAGGGGACAAACATCCATCAGGTAGTCAGGATGTGAATGTATGCAAATGCAAGAAAAAACCTCTCTCAAAGTTGATATAGATAGAAAATTAGATACTATGCAACAGTTCATTATCAGATAAATCCAGAAATCTAACATCATACAATTAATTTCCACTTCTCAATACTGAAAATCACATGGAAGGTTACAAATTCACAAAAGCTCAGCAAATGGCGAGAAAAAGCAACAATTAAGGAATCCAGCCAGGTTCAGTTCATCATTCATCAAAATTCAAAAGCATTAGCCTCCATAGAAACTGCCAATAACACCATCCTTTGCAAAGCATGATCTAAGATGGCTTACCACCTATTGCTTGTACCATCTCAAGGTACTGAGCGAAACAAGACAAAAATTAACTATTCTACTTGTTTTCTATAGACTATTGCGATTAACAATTTTTAATTTGGGTTACACAGCAAGAACCAAAAGCTTAGTTAGATGAATACAATAGTGTAGAAGAAACATGAACAAAGAAAAATATATGCCTATTTAACACACTTTGATGATAATCATTATGGATATGAACTAAGAAGCATGTATTGTGCAAATAAAAAGTTATTTAAACACAAGATCTCCTGCCAAAGGCATTTCGGGCATTATAATTGGATTCCCATAGATGTAAAAAAATTCCAACCCAAAATCCATCATTGTATATTGTGAAGTTAGAGTGAAAAACATTTTATCTAATTTCCACAAAGTCAAATATGTTCATTCCATACGACAATGAATCATAGGCACTCTAAACCAAGCAGCATATAATTAATTCCAACAATTGAAGCCAAAAAAGAAAGAGTCAAACTGTGTAACCAATACCCAAACACAAGAATGGATCGAAACATGCAACTAGCAAATAAGAAACTATGGGTGATGATAATAAAGATAAATTAGTGATGAGACAAAGGCAGGAATCAGATTTGCACCATGTCATACATACTAGCATTCTGTGACAAACTGCATGTTTCCAAAAACTTGATATGCAAGAATCGATGTACCAAAATGCCATTATGATGCCTATAATACAACCTCATGATGACAAAAAGACTTTAAAGGTATATACCTCGTATGCCTTAAGTGACTGATCGGCAACCTCTTTCTTCTCATTACCAGCCTTGAACTCTGCAAGATACCGATAATAATCCCCTTTCCTGTAACCAATCAAAACTCACAAAGGTCAAAACAAAATTACCACATCCAGTATAAACAAATCTCTCTCTGTGTATAAATAAGAGGAGAGAGATTACTCACATTTTATAGTAGAAAACAGTGGACTCTCCAGCAGAACTGGAAGGAATGAGATGCTCATCGATCACAGTCATAATGTCACTACAAATGGTCGAGAGCTCAGACTCCACTTTCCCCCTGTACTCCTTGATCCGCTTCGCATTCACATCGTTCCCCTTCGACTCCTCCTTCTGCTCAATTGACGACAAGATCCTCCACGCCGCTCTCCGAGCACCGATCACGTTCTTGTACCCCACGGAGAGCAAGTTTCGCTCTTCGACAGTCAATTCCACATCGAGCCTCGCTACCTTCTTCATCGCATCAACCATTTCTGCGCTAATCGTGAATCCATATACATCAATGTATGTGTTAAACAAAAACCCTAATTGCTATATATTGTATGATAAAAACAGAGATCAGAATTTCCAGATCTAGAGAGGAGGGAGAGAGAGAAACCCTAACCGTCGTAACGTTCGGCTTGCTCGGCCAGCTTAGCGACGTAGACGAAGGTGTCCCGGTCTTTGGAGGAGGCCATGGATGCTGCACTGTTGGCTGATCTGAGTAACTTTCTCTCTCTAGTTCAAGGATGAGAGAGAAGGGAAAGGTAAGAAGAGAGAGAAAGAGAAAGGTAAAGGAGGAGAAAAATATGAAAGTAGTTTGGTGGCTAATTTTGCCGCGGTGTAATACATCGACTTTGTCGCGAGGGACCCTTATCTAACGGTCCAAGAACACAGCCGAAATGACTGGCCACCCATTGCCCGCCACGTGTAGACCAACTGGTCCTTTTTTTTTTTCTTCTTTCAACTTGCCATTTATGTTTGATGGGACCCACCGTGTGTTAGGGTTGAGCCAAATCAGCCTAAAATTTTGACCTTTTGACAATAGTGATATTAGCTGAATCGTGGTAGACCCGTGTTGGGCTCTCCAATTGGTGCTCTTTGAATTTGGTTAAAGTAGTCTCGGTTGCAACGAATAATATCTCGCCGGATTGAGCATCTCCACTGCATCTTCTCCGGCTTATATGATAAAAGGTTTGCTTTGTTTGACTGATAACTACCATTAACGATTTTATTGGCGTTAATGTTGGTTTTTAGTTTTGGACCTGAATTGGGATTTTATTAATGGGCCTCTTTTGTATTCGTTTAGCTCTTTGTTTGAGCTTCTGTTTTTTTTTTTTTTTTTGCCTGTTGTTGTACTTCTGGCCGAACTCCTTGTAATTATTTATTTTATTTATATCAGTGGCTTGAAATTTCAAAAAAATAAAATAAAATTCAGTTAAAGTATAATTATTCTTTGAAAAAAAAAAATTATAGCATTTCTCTTACTTACGTGATATAATTAAATACGTGACTATATAAAATTACTGATTCCGTTGATCTTAATGTAAATACTATATAATTATTGAGAATCTGAATGGGAAATTTTTTTTCTAAAATATACAAAAAATAATAATAATAATAATTTGTTGCTAAATTTGTGGTTCATAGACAAAATGACATAAAATTATAAAAAATGATATTATTAACGACTTTAATATCTTGACTTAACACGGACATTGATAAAAATATAACTGTTATTCTAAAATTGCAATTTAAATAAGTATCTTTACTATTCTTGTTTGTTTCCATAAAGCGCGTCCATTTCACTTTCCTTATTTTTCCAGCTTTCCATATCCTATCCTTATTTTTCTAGCCTTCCATAACTGTATCATCTTCTTTTTGGTTTTCATAACTTTCATGGTACTCAAATATAAGAATTTGATTCGTACAAAATATAGAATAAAAACTATAATATTTTACAATTTTTCAATGCTTTACAATTTTTCTTTAAAATCGTCTTTGTTTTTGTGTATGGGAGTCACATAGATCATTAGTTTGATCAATATAGCAATAAACAAATGCCTATCAAAGTAATAGATAAATATTAATGATCAAAGACACAAATTTTTATATATTAAGAGGGATACACAATTTACTTATATATAAGAGATGCATCTTAAGTATCTCAACAATTCTCAGAAAGATACAATATGATGTGTATATATATATAACACATATATAATTTGATATAGATGGTGATTGAAACTTTAATCCCCAACAAAGTTGTTATATTAAGATGAAACTTAGAAAATGTATTATAATTTTTTAAATTTATTTTAAAATATGTCCCATTATATTTAAAGATAGTCATACAGGCTCGGTAAAATGGTTAGGTTTTACTTGTCCGAAAAAATAGCAGGACTCAAAAGGTACAGGATTACTGAAGGTAAAATCATCTATTTTTAGTTGATGGTTAGCATTAAAATCATCTATTTTGCCGCGGTACTATTAGCATTAAAATAATCAATGTTGCAAATTGAAAGATACATCAATGTTACAAATTGATGTCACGAAACACGAGACAGCAACGTCACTCACCATCAAATGTGGTAGTACGGAAGTTTTTGTTGGGTTTGTGTTTTATATGTGCTAAATCCGACATGCAAAGCGACATTCATAACTTATTTGGTAGTTTGTTTTATTTCATTGATAAAAAAAAATAAAAATAAATAAATAAAATAAAAACTTACAAGTGTGAAAGCAAAGGCACGAGTCTGATTGAGAACAACCAAAAGAAAAGCAAGACTTCTAATAAAAAATAATAATAATAATAATAATAAAAGCATATTTTGATTTGTATTCAACTTAATAGTAATGATACTTATGTCTTTTTGTGTAGTCTAGGAATGTAATTTATGGAATTTCTATCCTCTTGATTTAGTAAAAATTGTATAGAAGTTTCATGTGAGGAAACTCCTGCTTGGAAGTTTCAGTCAACACTAGCTAAACATGTACCGTAGACCATTAAAGACTTTTTTGGCAGATCAAGAATTCTTGATTAACTATGTTGAAAATTTTACATTAATCTTTTGAAAGAAATAATAATAATAATAATAATAATTTATTTGAAAATTTTTTAAAATTAAAAACAAGAGAGGACAAAAAAATTTGTAACTCTTACAACAGTTTTCTCTGAAAAGTTATCAGAAAACTGCTTGGTTCAGTGTTTTATTAAACATAAACACCCTTCATCAATTAATAGACCACCACACCCCAGTGAATAAGGTTCGTTATAGTGCAAATCATATAAGACAGGTTTGAGTTCAGTGGTTTCAAACTGAGAAGCTCCAGGAAATGGTTCAAAATATCCTTGAAAGTTTAGGAGTGTCAAGTTTATCCCAATGAAAATCAGGCACATCAAACACACATGTCGTCGTTTACATGCCACTCACAAGTGAATAACACGTCAGAATGTTGTGTTAGAGAAAACACCAATAACACCATCGATGTAAAAGCACAACAATCAGTTCCATTCTTGTGAAAATGACAATATAGCCACCACCACCAGTTCTTGCATTAGAGAGCACAGCAATATGAAATTGAAGGTTCCAGTGACAAGATAATTTAAAGTTCCCAGGTGAGATAGATAAAGAAAACATAATTAACTCCTGCGCGCGTCATATATACTTTGACGAGCAGAACCCCATCTCATTAGGAAAAAAAAAAACCGAGGTAAAAAACATAAGCAAAATATATATATAAGCTTTAACCGGTGTTTTGCATCCCTGCAGCAATACCCTTCATGGTCAAGATGAGGGTGTCTTCCAAACCAGGGGCATACTCGCTCGTTGGGTTCAACTTCACAAGTTCATTAGCAGCATTGCCATTGCTGGATTCCATATATTCCTTGGAGATGTGAGGACGCAACGTGACGTGATAGTTCGGGTCACGAATACGTTTGAGTGTGTAGGCTTGGCACACATTAAGCGTTGTGATATAGGAATCACGTAGGCGGAGTCGTTGTTTCAAATATGGATCTCCTTCCAGAAGATCCTTGTGTCCAGCAATCTATCAAAACAGGATGAAAAAATACCATTATTTTAATTTCAATCAGCACCATGATGACATCTATCAAATATACATTTCTTTCCTATTTCTCAACAATAAAGTGCTGAGAAAATTGGGTCCAGTTCAATATTTTCAGAAATGTCACAGCAAATTTATTTACCTGGAGCAGAAGGCTCTTTGTTTCTTCATAATTGACCCTCAAACGCTCTCCAAATGACCACAACTCTTCTGAAACAAGGAGCTTGTCGAACAAGGCAGCGATACCAGGGTCCCCCTTGGCAAACACCATTTCTATTAAATCGATGGTCACCCTAAAGAATGGCCATTCATTGTACATTTCCTGTAGCATATGGAGATTTCTAATGTCCTTCTGAAGGGCATGTTTGAACGCTGCACCAAAGCCAAGCCATACTGGGAGATGAAACCTGGTTTGAGTCCATGCAAAAATCCACGGGATTGCACGCAGTGATTCAATGCCCCCACTTGGCTTTCGTTTTGATGGACGGCTTCCAATATTCATCCGACCATACTCTAACTCTGGTGTGGCCTGCAACAATGATGGAAAGAATGGTTATCACTTTGATAAATAAATAAATAAACAAATAAATAAAAATAAATTAAAAAAAAAGCCAGAGTGAAGCATGGTTTTGGGGAAACACTTACAAGGCGGAAGTACTCAACAAATCGGGGTTCGTTAAAAACTATTGAACGGTATTCCTCTGTGGCAACAACAGCAATTTCGTCCATAAGTACACGCCATTCTGGTTTTGGGGAAACTGGGGGATGCATCCCGTGCTCAAGTGTGGCAGCTGAGAAACGTTGTAGGGTTCTAAAGCACAAGTGTTCCTCCCCAAAAGATTGTTCGATAACTTCACCCTGAACTGTAACACGGAGTGATCCATGAACTGTATCAGGCGGTTGTGATAATATAGCAAGATGTGTGGGGCCACCTCCTCTGCCAACAGTCCCTCCTCGACCATGGAACATAGTAAGCTTCACACCATATTGCTTTGCAACTTTTATAAGCTCCTCTTGAGACTTGTACAATTGCCATGCTGCTGAAAGCCGCCCAGCATCTTTACCAGAATCAGAGTAACCAATCATGACTTCTTGCTTACCATTAATACGGTTTTTGTACCAGTCAATCGAGAAAAGCCGAGCAACAGCAGCAGGAGCAGCATCTAGATCAGCAAGTTTCTCAAACAACGGAACTACTCTTATTGGTTGCTTCACATGGCATTCACGTTGCAGAAGCTCAACGGCAAGCACATCAGATGGTGCAGTAGCCATTGAGATGATGTAAGCTCCAAAGCAGTCTGCTGGGAGTTCTGCTAAGACATGGAACGTGTCCAAAACATCGGCAATTTCTTCAGTTTTTGGAAGATCGGGACCAAACAACGGGCGCTTGCCACTGAGTTCAGATAAAAGCCATTCCTGCCGGCGTTCTTCAGACCATTCTCGGTAGGAACCAATCTCCAAATGCTTGGTAATGGCATCCATAACATCGGTGTGCCGGTCTGACTCTTGCCTAATATCAAGTCGCACAAGTGAGAGCCCAAAGGTAGAAACTTGCCTTAGAAAATCAAGAAGACTTCCATCAGCAATGGGCCGGTCCCCACAAGCACAAAGAGATCGGTAGCAAAGTTCGAGAGGTTCCAAAAACTACAAAAAAAGGTACAACCCATTTAGCAGTGAATCCAATTAGTAACAAATAGTTTTTTTTTTTTTTTTGGGGCGGGGGGGGGGGGGGGGGGGGAAGAAAATTTCATAGTTTTTTATGATAATTTATTGAGAGCTGTAGACCAAAAAGATAATAACCCTAGTCAGTACTTGATCCGCATAAATGCACAGAAGCCATGAGCACGCATACACCCATAGATAGATGTGGCAAAGAGAATGAACAAGCCAATTACAAATAGTTATGGCTTGAATTAAGTTTGAGTTGAAAAATTAAAGTAGACATTGATAGAGTGAGAAACAGGTGGGGGTTCACAATTCAGTTTTAGATCTCTTTAAAAGGTCACAAGAAAATAGATAAAACTGGAAGTAGTGCAGACACCTGCTCAACATTGGTGAAAGTTGCCTCCTCAGGAATGTCAGAGATCCCATGGGCTAACATATGACGAGAACGTTCACGTGTCTGATAGAGCTTATCCCGCACATCACCAAGAATAACACGATAAGGTTCACTTGGAGGAACTTGTTTCCAGAACTCTGCATCAGGAAGAGTCATGACTAAATGAGAGAGAGAGAGAGGCTTGTGCAATTTTGTATGTTTCTCTTTCCATGCAGTTTTTGAGAATAACCATTTTCAAAATTAGAGCTTCACAAACCAAACAGCATTTATTTATCAATAGCCTGCATTTCTTTATAATGAAATACACATTAAAGATGTTTCAAAGCAACAGCTGAATTCTGCTTTAGTTTCTCAAACTCTACTTCTTCACGAACAGAGTTGTCCGCGAAGAACTTAGAAATTGGAAAGAATGATCCTTGGAAGTAGTACACTAATTACCTATGTAGTGTTTGGCATCTCTCCTCGAGGATCTGTAGAGTTCATCCGCTCGAACTCGAAGCTCGTCATTGCAACGCCACATAGACAACTGGCAAGAAAAAATACAAATGTTGGTAAAACAATAATAATAACATAGCACAAAAGAAATGGAGGCACTCATAAGATATAAAAATGCAGATGTAGCTTATTTTTCTTTTGTAAATGTGAATACCTCAAACATGAGATCTTCTATCTCGGAATAGTACAAGTTAGCAGCCATCATTCTGGCCAACAAGCAAACGTCCCTTGTGACCTCAGGAGTTACCCTTGGATTACCTGCATTTGATGTCAACAAGATGTTGAGACAGAGAGACACAGAGAGATTTGTTTTCAAGAATTGCTAATAACCACATAGGATGGAACCTTTTTTCCTGGTAGCAATACAATGAAATCCTTAAAAAAGCATAACCAGTGAAAGCAACAATACAAGTTTTTATCCTTTTTCTTTTTTAATTTCAGGATACATTGAAAAATAATCAATACTTTAATTGTGTGTTTCCCTCCATTCTTAAGCTATTTCAGCTTCTTCTTCTTCTTCTTATTTTTTTATAATCTAAAATATGCAGTTCAAATGGACAAAGTCGCATACCATCACGGTCACCACCCATCCAAGAAGAGAATTGAATAAGAGGGGCATTGTAGGGAACACGTTCATTTATCCCAATGTTCTTAAGAGCTGTGTCAACACGGCGTAAAAATTTAGGAACACCCTTCCAAATTGTTTCATGAAAGTAGCTCATTCCTGCTCGCATTTCATCTTGTGGGGTCGGAGGAGTCCTCCGGATCTCATCTGTACGGAAGGCAGCTTGAATCTGCATCAAAAATATGAAGGAAAAAAGAAAAAAAAAAATTTAAAAATCAATAATATAGCAAATCCAGCCCAGATGTTAGTTTTTAGGTAATCTTCAAATGGTAAATTTCATTTTAAGCTAAGAAAAACATTATTAAAAGTTCACACATATAAAAACTGCCCTGTGTAAGCCAGCACGAAAGCAACTAAGGTGAACAGGTCAAATGCAAAATAAATCTACTTCTACAAGGTTTTATGGCAATCAAAGGTCATGTGATGTCCCACATTGCTTGGGGGGAGAGATTGTTGGCACTTATATGTGAGAACACCTCCTAACTGTGTAGTGTTTTGAAAACCGTGAGCACGGAGAGTGTGCAAAGCGGAAAATATCTACATGGTGTAGGTGGATCGTGACAAATGGTATCAGAGCCAATTCCCAGTTGGAAATGAGGTAGTGTGGACAACCCCATGCGGGTCAGGCCAGCGCAGACGCTAGGTCCCAAGAGGGGGTGATTGTGACGTCCCACGTCGCCGGGGGGAGAGGTTATTGGCACTTTTCCGTGTGGACACCTCCTAACTATGCAGACACATTCTGAAAACTATGAGGACAGAGAGAGTGCAAAGCAGACAGGGAGGGTCATGACAGGTCAAAACCAATATGGGACAAAAATTGATCAAGTTCATGTACATCTTGTGAAAATAAGTAGATATATACAATTATACATATCATAGAAGTATAATAGAAACGTTATTTATGAAATTAACAAAAGGTCAGTAAAAATATAAGAAGAATGACTAGTTTCCATTGTAAATGATTAAAAGGCCATCTTTCCGAATAAGCATAAGCTTTATATGTCTACAAAAATTTGGTTTACTACTTCGACTGACGATTAATATCCATATTCAAACATTTGGCATTTAACATTTAACCATCAAAGATATATCGGTGAAAACACAGGAAATCTGCAGGTTCTATTGTAAATGATAACAATGCCAATTTTACCATTTAAGCATAAGCTGTGCTGGATATAAATCTTGCAACAGAGATTACGTTTAGTATTTTGATTGACAACTGATTTCACACATTTGACATTTCATCATCATATATATACAAAGAAAATGCTGTTATCAGCAAACTATTATTTCACGTGCACCATAACTAAGCTAAAGGATGATTATACAGGGAAAATGAGTCTTTTAAATATAAATATTTTTTATCATAACGACATGAATGCGCACACATCATATATGGCTTCTTATATATTATGGCTTTTAAATGCCGATCCAAATCTTTCAATCCTACGATCTTAAGATCTAAAAGTACTGAACTGATAAAGATTCTACCAAAATTCCAAGAGGATCCTCGAAGAATCCTTTTAAGATAGTAAAAGTTGTGGGATCTTCAGTTGACACCAGAATCTGTTATATTGCCTTGTAAATTATTCTTATCTTATTTAATGTAAAATAGGGTTCGAGACCTAAGTAGTATAAAAAGGAAAACGAAACCCACTTAAAATTTTAAACAAGACAATTATTATCAAAATTTACTTCATAATTCGACTTTACAATGACTACTAATTTGCTTCAGTTTAGTCATATGCTTTTTTTTGCACAGTAATAGATTAGTCATATGTTTCAACAACTAATTTAGACTATCTGATTCTTCGTTTTGACTAAATAAGCTTGACAATCTGTTCTTTCCTTCACACTATTTTTCTTTTGGTATAACCATCCGATTCTTCGTTTAGATTAAATAAGCTTGACATTATGTTCTTTCCTTTTCTTGATTTTTCTTTTGGTAAAACCATCCGATTGTTCATTTTGACTAAATAAGCTTGACATTCGGTTACTTCCTTCTCTTTATTTTTCTTTTGGTTGGTTATTTTGCTATAATATACAATGGACAAAAGGAATTTTTTTTGCTTTGAAATACTGCTTCAAAACATCAAATTCAACCGAATCCCGTGATCCTCTCCTAACGCCTTCCAATGATCCAAACACAATCCCGATTTCAACACCCTTGATATGTGTGTGTGTGTGTGTATATATATTTAGCAACAATAGAAAACGGCAAGGAAAGCATAAATATGAACTGCTGACTCTGGTTACACCTGGTCTACGAAGGCATCACTTCTTTAGTGCTGAAAGAGAAAATAATGTCGACGGCATGGTACAATAAATGAAAGCGAAATATTGAAATTGATGCTTTAACGAAGAGGAGCAATATGAAAATGCGTGTCACTTGTTGATGTGTAACCAGAGTTAAACGTTGAAAGTTTGAAAGTCAAATGTTGTTGATGAAACGACATGATGAAAAAAGGGGTAATTTTGAAATTTGATGCTTTAATGAAGAGAGGCATTATATAAATGCACCTCCATTGTCATTGGGAAAACCAGCCTTGGACCCTTAACCAGTTGAATGTTTCCAGTGATGTGACAATTAGACAATCCAAGGGTTCAGGATATATATATTTAATCAAAGAAACCAAATTTTACCAGTCTGGTTGTCACTACAATCGTCAGAATATCAAAAGAGGAAAGAAATGTAATTTACATACAAAAACATGCCAGACTTCAAATATAAAAACATAAATACAAAAATATATACATATGGTAGGGCTATGTCACGATATATACAACTTTGAACTATTTTTTTATAGAAGTTTTTAGATCCTGGCTGCTGTTTTAAAATAAAAAATTTAAATACAAAAGAAGCCCTTCTATATCAATATTGAAACTTGTACACAGCCCATAACTAGAAAAGCTGGCACGAGTGCCATGAAGTTAAGAAATCAAAATCCTAGTCAGAAGTATCACTTCATAGATATTGAAGTGTAAAAAGAAAATTGACACAACAGAATTATTATTTTTCTAATATCTCCATGGTGACAGAAATCACAACCCGGAACGGTTGGCTTGCCACATCAATTCCACCGAAAACTATAGGTAAAATATTAAAATATATTTTTCACCCTTTTCGTAACATTCAGCCATGTCAAAGGGTACACTTATTCTTTAGAGTATACCAGTTATGAATACCAAATAATTTCTACCTAAACCTAAAAACAGAACATTTGGGCTCCATCATTTTTCAATAGACATTCATGTTAGAGGTGACAGGCATCTTTTAGTATGATACTTCTAATAAAATATGAAAACATGTGTGTGTTCGTGTGTGTGTGTGTGTGTGTGTGTGTGTGTGTGTGTGTGTGAGAGGGAGAGAGTTGCATGCTAGAGGAGGGAAGGTAGGATTGGTGATTGTCCAGAGCTACTCAAAAAAACTACGCCCTTCCCCAACTTCTCCAAACATACCACACACAAAAATAATGATAAAAATAAATAAATAAATAAATAATTAAGATCCACATGTTAAGCAAATAAAAAATAATGTATTGAAAATTCCAACAAATGGAAGATAGACTGCTACGTTAAACAGTGGGACTTACCTCCCTCTGAAGAGCTTCATCAAGTTCCTGCTTATCGTCAGGAGTGATGTCTTTGGCATATAACTGAGCTAAACAATTTCGTATTCTGAAAATAAATAAAATGGGAAAGGTTAAGAGAAGGAAAAGAATAGAAAGATACATTAAGAACTTAAGAAATGAAGAAGACTTCATAGAATCAAGACAATAGAATAAAGCCCGATCTACTGTAAGCATTCTAAAACACCCAAAACCAATCAGTACTTGGAATACAAACCTTCCATGCTTTTGAAGCAAAGATCTACGAACTGATTGGGTAGGGTGAGCAGTGAAGACCAGATCTACAGTCTGATTCTTCAGAGCATCAAAAACTTCTTCAGGAGACTTCTTCAGTTGCACCACAAGTCTCTTGAGAGTTTCCTCAATGTCCGATTCAGTTGTTGCAGAGTTCTCATCAACAAAATCCCCCTTTTTCTTCAACTTGATCCGTCGACGGTATGCAATCTGAACCTCCTCTGCCAAGTTGGCGAGGGTAAGCATGTTTGAGAACGATTTAGCAATGACAATGGAATCCCCTGGATCCAAACTTGTCAATACACTTCCCAGCTCCTCCAGCTTCTGGGGATCATGCTTTCCTTCATACTCAGCAGAAAGCTCATAACACTCTTGAACCTAGAGACACAAAACAGACAAACTATTCATTTAATTCGGCACTTGATCGAAGTATATACATCACAAAAACATTAAGACACAATGATCCTTGCAAATTGCCTTCTACGTTTAGAGACCAATCTGAGGATCTATGAACTTCCAAATTGTACATTTGTTACCTTCTCCAACGTGAACTTAAAGTTACCTAAACAACAGTAATGGTGCAGACAGGTGACTCCTCCAATACAGAGTCAAATCAAGATCTATAATTTGATTGTACATTTGAACTTATCAAGTGAAATTTCACATGAATCAGTAAGCATTTAATTGAAAATTGATATAAAAAAGTACCTTCTAATCATGATGTAAAAATACCACAAAAATAACCAATGTGCCAAACTCAGTACCCAAAACCGCAAAGAGCATCAAGAATTCAACAATACATAATTGTATTCTCAACACTAACATCAAAGTCAAGTTCAGATACTATGGACATCAAGCAATGTGAATTAAAACATTAATTTTTTTCAAAAGCTTATGAAATTATGATCCAAAATTTGTATTCTAAACCGTATACATACCGTTTCCCTAAGATCCTCCCCGTGCAAATCCTGAAGAATATCAAGAAATCGATCCAACAGCAAAGCATCGTATTCTACGAGCTTGTCATCCTCAGAAACTTTCGCAGGCACCAAAAGCCTCAATTGGGCGTCGATGGACGCCAATTTCTCTAAATTCCTATTCGCCATTACTTAGCTCTCAGCCTCCCCAGGTGAGCTCCAACTCGCAAAACCCTAAAAAAAAAAAAAAAAAAGTCTCCAACAATCACGGAATTGAACCTATCAGAAAAACCACAAATTACGATTACGATTTACGACCCAGGAAAAAAGGGCCTACAAAATAGATGATTAGGAAGTTAACAACCCCATCTAGAGAGTGTGTGTTTGTGTGTGTAGCTCAATGGAACTAACTTCGTATGAAAAAGACATGGCTATAGTGTAAACTGATGATCCTTTGGGACCCAGAAAGAGAAAATCAAGTAGAGTAATATATAATGGAGTACCTGAATCTGGTTGTCCGAAAGAAGATGTACGTAAAAGTGAGATTTGGGGAAGAAAACAACGATCAGAAAGATTAGAGACAGAGGAGTTTTCAGAGAGGGATGAGATCCATAAGCTCTCAAGAGAGTGATATTTATAGAGATTTACGTAATGAAATGTAGGAAGGACGAAAGAGTTTGTGCAAATAAACTTGATTTGCTCTCTCTAGAAAAAAAGGCCCACTGTGGACCCCACCAACCTTGTCACCAGCTCTCTCACTCACGCCAGAACTCAAGTAAAATTTTGCATTTTTGGAGTCAAAATCACACACACTCTCTCTCTTCCCATTTCTGTCCCCAGAGTTTCTCCCCTAATTTGAGGTGAGGAGAATATGCCTTCAGAGATGCTTCCTTTTTTATTCAATTAATTTTCAGTATCAAATATATACAGTTTATATATATTTTTTCAATATATAGTATATTTATTACTGTATTTTTTTCTGACCTAGATATAAGAAAGGATGTGTATATCTATATAGTTATATTTATGTTAAGCTTAAGATTAGTTTTCTAAACAAAAATTTATCTTTTTAAATCATTTTTTTTCTTTTATGTATTTTGTTTTTCTTTTTACAAAATTTATTTTTGGTCAATAAAGATATATATATATATATATATATTTTACAATTAAGAAAAGAACAAAAATACTTCAAATTAGTCTTGGAGGTGATTTTTATTTTGGATTGTAACATGTGTGGTATGGGCGGCCAATGTGTATAACTGGCTAGGTGAACACCACCACCATCACCATCTGCCACCTACCACCGGTCACAGCCTCCCCTAATATTACAGCTATAATTTATTATTATTATTATTATAAGTATCACTACTATAATTTACTCTTAGCACTACTATTCGTGCTACCAACTTTTTTGTTGCTATTGTAGTTATTTATTTTTATTTTTGTCGAGATGCAATTTCCTCAACACACATGGACAGGTAAAAATTTTATTGGAAGTAGCAATTGCTTTAGTAAATTTGCACCACTTATATTTTCAAAGCAAGAAATAGGGGCTAATAGTAAATTGAAATTAATTCAGAATTATCAAGTTAAAAATAAACATTGATATAATCAAGTAATTTTAAGTTATTATTAACATCAAGTAATATTAAGTTATTTAACTTTTGAAAGTTAACTGTCATGCGCCAAATCCACACGAATCTGTATTATTTATGTAAATTTGGGAGAGTCAATTTGAATTTAATTTTAGTACAAACTAATATTTGAATTAATTTAGATACCTCTTTTAGCTAGTTAAGCTAAATTTAAATTGAAATTTTCAACCGAATTTAAAATTCAGGTATATTAGGCAATCTGAGTTTAATCCAAAGCGGCCTATTTTATTATAATTAATATCTTTTTAAAAAATCAACAACACGACCCTAACTAGAACGTAGATAAAAATATAAATGGGACTCTAACCCTAGTTTTATCCCATATGAAATTTTATATTTTGATTGAAATTGTTAGTTCACGTAAGTTCAGATGTAGATTAAGCGTTTTATTTAGTTTTATATCTCAATTCACCGAACTCATTTCATTTTCAGTACTAATAAGTGTGATCCCTTATTCGAATGCATCTACAATAACATGTTAGCTACAAGAATACATTCATAAAAGTTATTTTTATAATTTATAGTCTTGTTCCTATGGTGATTTAATTAAATAATTTGACTTATTTTTCTTAATTTGTTAATTAAAAAAATGTAGAAAAATATAAATAATTGAGATTATTTTTCTTATTCCGTGACTTTGTTAGAGAAACAAATGTTGAAAAATAAAAAGGAAATGCACTAACGTGGTGAGAGGGTGGACTAAAGTTTTGATACACCATATGTCACGCATCACGCCTGTGTTTCTTTAGAAAAATAATGCTGACAGTCGGTATCAACCATAAAGTAGCCTTTGACGTAATTGAATTGCATGATGCAAGAGAGAGAAATTTTTTTATGGATCTCCATGTTTCTGTTGGAATATAAAACAGTCATTGACTTCTCACCATTTATTAATTTTCATGACTTTTTTAATCCTTAAATTAGACTTTGGGAGGGAGTTTGATGAATTATTGGGATGGTTACTTTTATTAAATCATAGTAAAGGAGTTGTGATGAGTTGCACTTTTTTTCTTTATTTCTTTTTTTATTTTTTTTGACTATGATGAGTTGCACTAACTTTTGCGGCTTCTGATAAATATTTAGTTATAAAATACTAGAAATTGTTAATATGATTTTTTTCTTTTTTTTTAAATATGTACAATCACTCATAAATCACATATATAACTTAAAATCGAATATTTTTTTACCTGGTTAGAATTAAACCATTTGTCCATAAAACCTTTCAAATTATATTGTCCCTTCAAAATCTAGAAAAATTCGTAAGCAAGTAGGCTTCTTATAAGTAAAAATACTTATGTGACCCCTCAAAGTTTATAAAAACTTCATTTTGAGTCTTGTTTTTATAAATCTATACTTAAAAGGTAATGGGAAAAAATATATATATATATATATAAGAGTAATACCTATTATTATTTTTATTTCATCGACTCATCAAGTTATGAAATGTTTTTATTTCATCAAGAATTTTCTTAGGTCCACCTGAAAATACTACAACAAAATAATAATTATATGTTTTATAATTATTTACTACTATTTTTTTACTGTTAATTTGTCTTAAAATTCCTGGTCCATCCTTCTGCACTAAGATGTGAAAAGAATTGTTTGAAAATAATAACAATCCACGAAATATAATACTTATATAGTTGACTTCAAACTATATTTTGTGGTAGAAATTATCTGGATAATTTCTATGCTTTTCTATGCTTTTGAATTCAATCATACATTCATAGCTAATTTAGTTTATATTGTGATTCAGGTTTCTGTTAAATATATATAGGCGTGCACACACGTGTGTGTGTGTGTATATATATATATATATATATATATATATATATGTCAACTTAGAAAAATTTGATTACAAAAACGTTTTAAAATCTGAAAAAAGAGCTGTGGAATTCTACATTTGGGTGATATGAATATGCTTTGAAGATGCCTAACAAAACAACTGCTTTGGTTGGACCTGGAAGTCAAAGTTTGAGGCCTGGCCGAACCATAGTCCAAATTTTGTAAAGATGAATAAACATATTTATATTAAAATAAAAGAAAAAATGTGTTATAAAAATTTAAAAATAAGTTTCACAAATGGAAAAAAATCGTCTCCATTGCCTTCTCACTGGAACTGTCCAATGAGGGGGTAAATTCCTAAGTTGGCAAATGGGTTAAAATTGTATTTACTTCACTTTGTCTCATACATGTAATTTATACATATTTCGTATTTGAGTTTCAATTTTTAATTTACCTCCAAAAGAAAAGTTGACCTTCCCCCCAAAACTCTGCCATATATGATGAATCTAAAATATCAAATAGAAAATCTGTCTCTGAAATCATTGGTAACAATCCAGACAAGACAACCAAAAGAGTTTTTTTACACATAAACATAAAGATTTTCAAGAAGAAGCAAAGCAAGATTATCTGACGAAGAAGCAGAGCAAGTCATATTATCCGGTGAAGAAGCAAAGCAAGTCAGATTATCCGGTGAAGAAGCTGAACTGACGACGTCAATTAAGCAAAAGGATTCCCTGTTCAAAGAAGGTCCATTCTGAAATAAACAAAATGAGATCTAGTCGGAAAAATCACCATACATTTTGGAAAGAAGCTAAAATTTCCGAGAAGGAGAGATTCCCCACAGAAAAATTCCGACAGTCCACAAGAAGCTGAAGCTCTGATCATTATAAGCATTAGGTTGTTATTTTGAATTTCTTGTAACTTTATTCATAATAATATATCAAATTTATCTTATATGACGGCAATCCAATGGTGATTATTGGTAATCAAAAAAATTGAAAGCTGGATTCATCACTTACTTTTTATAACAGTATATAGATCAATTTATTATGCTCACAACTTATTTAAACATGTATCATGTATGAATTGCATATTGCATTAACATATTTTCCTAATACGTTAAAAATATTAACTTACACAACTCAATTTCACAATTCCTAAATTAATAATAAAAATCACAAATACTTTCAATATATACGTAGTAAGATTTGCATATTCCATCACCTACTTTTTGTAACAACATACAATACAAAAGTTGGAGAGATCAAATTATTATTATCACAACTTTCTTTTAACATATATCATGTATGAATTGCATATAGCATCAACATATTTTCCTAACACGTTAAAAAAAATTAACTTCCACATCAAATTATTATTATCACAACTTTTTTAAACATGTATTCTGATGAATTATATATAGCATCTTTCCTATCACAGTTAAAAAAAATTAACTTCAACAACTCAATTTCACAATTCCTAAATTAATAATAAGAACCACAAATACTTTCAACATATATGTAAGAAGATTTACATATTCCATCACCTACTTCTTGTAACAGTATATAATACAAAAGTTAAAGAGATCAAATTATTATTATCACAACTTTTTAAAACATGTATCATGTATGAATTGCATATAACATCAACATATTTTTCTAACACGTTCAAAAAATGCACTTCCACAGCTCTAAAATTTATATAATTAGTCAATTATTTCAAAACACTAAAATCTCAAGTAAATTTATATTTGAATACTGAACTGTACCGATACGTAATCAATATTTATATAAAATTTACTTATGATTTTAGTTATGAAATCGTCAAGATGTTAGTAATAATACATGGTTGGTTTTCCTTTGACTTTGGTAAACTTACAAATCTAAGTTACATTGAAAGAAATAAGTTATGATATTTATTACAAATATATTCCTACACTGTATGAAATTTAGTTGTGATGTTAGTTATAAAATCGTTATAGTGTTATTTTTCTAAAACGGTATAAGAATATTATAAATGGCTTGGTAATTCACTAAAAAAATATAACGAATTAACAAAATTTATGTCAAATTCTTCAACACCGAAAAGAGAGTAGTTTATTATCTCCAATCCAACCTTACAAATAAATCTCATTCATAAGATTGTATAAATCAAATAGATGCGTCTGATCTGTTACGGAGTTCATTGCCATATGGATTTGTTTGCTTTTCATGTTTCCAGTTGC